GATGATATGGTTTAAACAAGTACGATTCTCGAACGTTCCTGTCAATCGAACTCTGCTTTGAGGGGGAAATTACAGATTGTACATTGATTTCACGCATTCCAATGGATGGATAGATTGGATGAAAAAACGAGCTGGATTAGTTTATAAAACAATTAAAGAAAATTGTAATAGCATTGATTTACAAGAAGCTGAAGAATGGAAAGTTAAATTACCAAAACTTATTTCAGGTTATCAACCAAAGGGCATTTTTAACATGGAGGAATGTGGACAGTTTTTCAATCTTTTACCCGATAAAACTTATGCATTTAAAGGCAAACGTTGCCATGGAGGAAAAAACAGTAAAAAACATTTGACACTCTTAGTTGAGGCTAGTATGAATGAAACAGAAAAATGAGCGATTTTTGTAATTGGTAAAGTGAAAAATTTGTGTATTTTTAACCTTCAAATGTTTAAGAAGTTTTCCAATTTAATAAGTCATTTTTTTCCAGTCCCTTGAAAAACTTCTTAAGCAGGTTCCACTGTATTTATTGTACACAGCTATTTATTAATATTCTTTCATGTGTAAATTGCATTTTTTGTCTGATTATGGTATTATTAGTTTTTTACTATCAGTATACCCCATTGTTGTTTTACTCATCTTTTTTGCATCAGAATTGGTTTAAAGACTATTAAGCTTACGTAAACCGTTTTATTGTTTATGATTGGCATAACATAACGAATTCTGCCCACTAAACTTACACATTGAATTCAAATCACGGTAATTGGGTAATTGCAGAAAATTATTTTATGCATTTTGAACTTTTTAAATTTATTGCGTATCTTATCAGTGTATATACCTCAGATTATATTTTCTGACATTGTTATATAAAGTTTAATATCACAAAAATGCACATTTTCAGCTGATCAGTTGTAACAATTAATCATACTTCTTATAAAAGTAAGTAATTCATAACTGAGTCATTCTTCTTTTAGTTACATCAGATGAAGCTGGAATATCAATTAAAGACTGGAATATCAATGATCTGATGAAACCACATATTTTGAGTTTGGTTGAGATAAAAAAGCTATGGTTGAATTAAAAATATTTTTTCTGTTGTTCAGCTTAACATTTGGATTTATTGTGGATAGTTAATGTCCTACTGCTACAGTAATAGGTAATATTTTAAAAGAACATTTGAAAATTTTCTTTTCTGCGACTAAATATTTTCCTTGCTATCATGATTTGTGAAATGCTTGCCATATTGTTTATATATATATATATATTGTACAGTGAAACCTCTTGGGAGAGATCACTCTTATTTCCACCGTAAAATGGTCGTTAATAAAGGTTGGTCATTCTTAGGTGTTACCTCCATTGACTTCAAAATGTTATTGAAGGTACAAGATTTTTTGCAGCGATTTTACTTTGTGTCATTTTCTCGGTGCGGAAATGACACTTGTGATTCCGCCATGAACATTGGATTAATGAATTTAGCGTCAATAAAAATGAATGCCTACTAATAAAATTATGTGTGAAAACAAATTTACCAATTATGAATGATAGAACTATTTTATATAAATGAACAATTATGTTCTTTTCAAGTTTGCATTTAATTTTATATCATAAAAATTAGTTTGCTTTAAAAAATAAGTAGAGGTTTAGTTTTTTTTTTAAATAACTTTTTTTATCGAATTTAGCTTTCAACTCTAAAAATAAATCATTGATAGTATCGTCTCTAAAGCAGCCTGACTGCAATCTTTAGTGTTTCCATATCTAACCTTTTCCGCATTTGGTGCGGAGGTTTGTCGGTTGCTGGGAGAGGTTTTTATGGTCTTTCCTAAATGTTTTCTTTAACACAAAGTGTATGGAAAAATGCCATGTCTCCCAATAGTGATTGTAAATAGAAGAGGTCGCTACACAGAGGCGGTTTTTCTGAAGGTTTCAATGTGTATTAAATTGGTAAACTAAACACTTGTCCAGGATCTATTATAAAAAATAGCATGTATATTGTTAATTTAAAGCTTACTTTAATTTTAAGATTAGCTTATGATTTTAATTTAATCAGGACTCAGAAAAACCCTTTCAAGTCTGGGCTTTAAAAAGAAAAAATGACATCTCCAAGGCTTTAGAGTTTTGAATACATTTTGAAATAATTTTTAAAAATATATATTTTTAATGGTTTAGGATATTTTCATTTTAATATAATTATGTTTTCATGATAATGAGACTTTATATTAAGATTTATAGTTTAATTTTGTTATCAACTACACATTTTAGACTTTTTTTATAAAAATTTGATACAATCATTTCTTAGCTTCTGTCCCCTAAATTCTCTCCTGTTTTTCTTTTTCTTTTGAAATTTTTACATTCTATATTGTCACAAATTCACATGATTCATTTCAATCTAATAAACTAATTATACAATGTCTTAATATATGTGTTATATTTCTATATGTGCATTGTAACTCTCACCCAAAATTTTTCAAGTGTCGACACCTATTCGGAATTTATAATAGTCTTGTGACACTCTTGTCTTATACTTGCTTGTAACATTATACACAAATAATTTATGTCTCATGTGACTCTGTCTGTGTTATGTCTCATGTGACTTAATAAAATTCATAATTAAATTTATCTTATGCTATAATTAAATATTCTTAATAAGTAATAAAATAGGTTTAGATTAATTACCATCCATACCTCATTTCGTGTCATGCCCCACCAGACAACTGTCTTGTCTTTTGAAAATTAAATTTTACAAAATATCACCAATGATTAAATATTTAGGAGACTTTCATTTTTTTTTTTTTTTTTTTTAATTTCATTAAAATATTTAAAATCTTAAGTGGTAAAATATTTATTAAAATATAAGCGTTTCAATGTCGCAATGATACACTTTCATCGGTAGGATAATTGTCAGGGATGGTAAAAACAGAGACGATTTAGTCCGTCAGAAGTTTCGTCATACTAAAGAGATAATTATACAGTTAGCCCCTTCCTTCTCGCTCCCGTGAAAATGACTGGGTGAGGTTTCGCCCTCTATTTCTCGCTTGCATGATATTTCTGGGCTGGAGTGTTCAGTAGTAACTCGTCAATAAGAATAAAACTAATTCATTTCTTTTGCCGGAAAAACATTTTATTTCCCATTTTACACACCAGATGGCAGTGCCAGGAAATTTTTAAGGTAATTGTAAATAGTTAGAGAATGCAAAGTTTGTTCCTCCAGAAGAGATGAAAGCAATAAGAGATGTTGTAAGGAAACTTGGTACTACTGTCCAGATTGTGACATTGGCCAGACGTTGAAATTTATCACACAAGAAAAAATTACTAATCTTTATTTATATTATACGTAAGTTCAATAAAATTCTTTTTTAATGTTTAAAACACATATTTTTTAAATTTTCCTTGCTTGCTGGAAAACCAACATTAAGTCATAGTAACCCTACCCTGAATGTTGGCTTTTCCTAAAAATTCAATTTTTTTTTAAAATTTCAAGCTAAAAACAAATCAAAAATAAATATATATATGTTGTTCATACACATATTTTTATATAATTTTCAGGGATTAAAAAAAATAGGCACTTTCATGACCGTTTTCTTGAAAATTAACGGATCATTAAGGGGTTAAAGGAAAAACATTCAATTAACTGAAAATTTAATGATTTCCAAATATTTGACAAATATTGTTATATCAGCAAGCTTATTTACAATAGAGTTTTTATTTTTGATGATGTAAAAACTCTCCCAAATGATGTAAAAACTCTCCCAAAAATCTAGGTCAATGTGTGAAAAACATTTATGAATGATGCGAGGTGGATTAAAACCCAACCTATATCCTTCTGCCCAGCAATGTTTTGTGCAGTGGCATAAATAAGCTCCTACAGTGATAAAGGGGTGGGAGGAGAACACTCACCAGAAATAATACTATGAGTTAAAACAAAGATATTTTTATTTATGTAATACAGTCAAACCTCGATATCTCGAACTTGAAGGGAGAGGAGAAAAAATTCGAGATATCAAAAATTCGAGATATCAAAAATTCGAGATATCGAAAATTCGAATTATCGAAAATCGCATGTTATCGATGGTAGAATAAAGAAAAATGCTCTTTACATACCTTATTTACTATTCCATATTTATTCTAAAAACACTTTTTACACTTTCATTTAAAAAAAGATTCAATTGTTGTTTGCTTTAGAGATGTGTAAGAAAGTTTGTCTATAACACTTTCTAAGTGGACTATAGCTTTAAATGTCTCCTCTGACATATTCGGCTGCCTCTCAATAAATCTCCTTACAGTGTCCACTGCAGAAAGTGCTTGTTTGTTAGTAACATTGGGCGGTAAATCTTCGATTTCCTCATCCTCTTCTTCTGATAGTTCACAAGAAGCTTTCGTTTGAGCGATGATATCATTGTCATCCCACTGACCACACACTGTTACTGCATCATCTACGTTTACAAAGTCATGAAATTCCATGTCATCAAGCTTCATGAGTCCGGTCAATCTGTTCCAATCATTTTCGGTGTAGTTTTCAGCAGAATTAACGATATTGATTGTTTGACTACTTTCGTGATCTTTAATGAATCCAGACTTCTTGAAGCCATTCATTATCGTAGAGGAAGACACATCATTCCATGCCTTGTCAGCCATTCTTAAATTTTTTTTGGAATATTTTTTTAATTTTTGAAAAAAAATCTACTCTATTTATGGAAAAGAAATTCAAGTTATTGAGGGATTAGGAAAAAAACTCGTGAAATCAAGTTTTTTTTTTTTAACATTGAGTGTATAGGAAATTTGAAGGGAATTTTTTTCTTCTTCAAGATATCGAAAATTCGTGAAATCGAGGTTCGACTGTATATTTTTTTATTTATACGTATAATATATTTTTTTATTAACTTTAAATATAATAACCCTTCACTTAACTTTGAATATAATTACTATAAAATAGTGGGCTATTTTCTTCTCTTTAAAAAAAAAAAAAAAAAAAAAAAAAAAATNAACTTTACATTTGGTAAGTGTATACAGTGTTTCAATTTTAATCTAATTCCCTAAATTATACCTTTTCATCTCAAATACTAATTTTATTTTCTTAAATTAAAATAAAAATTAATTATTGTAAATATCTGAATATCTCTTTATAGTGTTTTTGTTTCATATTATAATTTTAAGTCTTTTTATGGTAAGTCTAAAATAGGGCGCACTTATAAATCTTGCACGGAGGGGCACCTAAGTCAATGTACCCAACTGGGTTTGATATAGATGGGGTTTTTGATACTTGACATTCTGTGAGCTTATGCTTGAGTGCTTGTCTAATTTATCCTATATATGACACCTCACATCATTCATAAATGTATTTTATGTGGGTTGACTTGAATTTTTGGGAGCATTACTACATCAACAAAAACTCTATAAATGATCTTGTTGCTATACTATAACTGTCAAATGTTTGGAAATCATTAATTCTTTAAAATTGTAATTTTCTGTTAATTTAATGTTTTATTTTTCTTTTAGTATGCCGTTAACCTCTGTCGGATTTAAATCATCTCTTTATCACCATCCCTGTCATTTATCCAACTGATGAAAGTGCACATTTGTAACACAGAAATTCATATAGGTTTTAAAGAAAATTTTACTATTTATGATTTTAAACATAATATCATCACAAAGAATTACTGTGTAATTTTATAACAGGGTGCGTAACGTTTTTAAAAAGTGCTTAAAGGTGCTTATTTTCGACTTTCGTTTTTTAAAAGTCCTTAAAGGTGCTTTTTTCATTGGGAGTTTTTAAATAAAACTTTATTTACCTTTTATAAAATGAGATTTTATTTCTTTACCATATCAATTTTTGCTTCGAATTACTCAAAAAGCATGGTTTTCACATTGTTCTATACAACGTTTTCATAATTCATTCAACCACGATGTATTTCGACATACCATCTGTCTGTAGCGTTGTTCTATACCACGATTTATTTCGACATACCATCGGTCTGTAGCGTATGATTGCGCCAATCATTTTATGAAATACTTGCGGGTTCGAATACCGAGTTGGATTTGGTGGGAAGGATTCATGCATTCTCATGAGCAACTCAGCTGCATTTTGCAAGAGAGATAATCTTTTTAAATAATAGTTAAATTAATTATTCATAATTTTTTTTACATAATTGTGTAAAGTAATTATAATTTTAAAAATTTGAATGATTCACACAATATTGAATGTATTTAAAATTGTGCATAAATTGTTCTTATGGTGGCTAATATAATCACGAAAAAAATTCTTTGTCAGAAACTAGTTATTTTATCATGATCATGTAACTTAGAAAACTATTTTGCATTTTGTTAACATATATATATATATAAAGAACTTTCAACAATATAAAAGAAAAAAATTATTCGTGCACTTATCCTAATTATAATATTTTTCTTTAAAGTGCTTAAAAATATTTTTTGAGAGCTTAAAAAGTACTTAAAAGGTGCTTATTTTTTGTTGAGAAATTTGACTATGCACTCTGTATAAGGTTACACAATATTCATTAAACGGCTTTTTTCCGAATACATGAATCAGAGAAAAATGAATCCATGAAAACAAATTACACACAATATGTACTTTGTGTAATGAGTGTGTAATCAAAATTGAAAGATTTTTTTCATTTGTATCTTTTGTTTTTACCTTTTCTTGTCGTTCGGCAATGCTTCACCAGGGGATCCAATTGACTTTGACTTCTGGGAATTAGTGCATATTTTAAAATATTCTAATAATTCAGTTAATGATGTTTCTAGTATCCAATTTTTTCCTAATGTTAATAAATCTATTCTAATTTAATTTCTATATGTTGCCTCCTGTGGCTCTCATCAAATACCCTCCTATCTCTCTTATTTTATTGCCTTGTTTAAACTTGTCCCTCTTCCACTATTGGTTGAAACACTTTTATGCTGATTGCAATGTGTTAGTCTCTTTACTTTCTCGAATCGTGCATTTGTAAGTTGGAATCATTTAAACTTTTCCAACCCTTAATATTAGAAAAATATATTCTTACATATATTTATTTAAATTTTTTATTTGTAGTGATAGTCATTTTAGTAAAACTGTGTTCAACTAAGACAAAGATATAAATTTTAAGATACTATTTTAAATATAAAAAGTAACGTCTATGGGCAAAGTCAAGAAATTTGGATAAAGAATTTATATATATATATGTGTATAGATATATCATTACATTAGAACTTTCAAATAATTGATATCTATGTACCCTTTTTATTTTTGTGAATAAAATATTATACCTAAGTTAATGCAATAATTAAAAATGTTATTGATAATTATCATTTCTTAATTTTTAAAAATATTATCGGGCTGGGATAGCCTTGTCGGTAGTGCGCTGGGCTCATGTCCGAGAGTTTGTGGGTTTGTACCCCGCTGGTCGAAGACTCCCAGTGTAGAAAAATGGTGACCGATGCACGTTAAATCTGTCGAGTCGCAAAGTCCTCCATGTTCCAATAAAAAATCAATACCTTTAGGGGTACTGAATTAGAGATTGATCATTCTCTTAGTCAGGTCAAAATTACGATCTGTGGATGAATAAATGGGTCCGCCCTATAAACGGACGTGACGTATGGGTGTGGCAGAAGTTGAATTCTTCACCACAGATGACGCCACTGGAAAACAAGAACAATCGCACCCCTCTGCCTTAACAGGCATGCGGCAACAAGAACAAATTATCAATTTTTTTTCCTCTCTCCCATTCTCCTTAAAATAATTCCATTTTTGATCATCTATGATATTTAGTGCTGTATTTTAAGAATGCTCTCTAGATTGTACTGAACAATGTTTTGCATAAAGCCTAAAGAAATAATGTGCGATGAAATTCAATCAATCAATAATAAATAACTTAACAATCATTCAGTTCTTTCAAATGTTTATTAATTAAATATAACTTTAAATTTGTAAATTGATTTAGCAAATTTATCTTGATATTAAACTATTGTAAGTAGCTTGTGAGTTGCATAATTAGTCAAAAATATAATCAGTTCAAAAGATGACTGAATATTTCAAAATAATATTGTTAACATTTGTTTTGTAAAAAGCTTACATAAGCATTATTTACATAGAACACTAATTATGTAAATATTTTGCAACAAGTGACATATATCTATTCTCAGATTGCAAAAGAAAATAATGTTCATTAAAATATATCGTTTTTGAAACAAAGTAATAATTTTTACAATACTGAATTTTATTTACAAAAACACATAAAATTTTCATGTTATTCAAAATGGCTTTTTCATTTGGCGCAAAGCCTATTAAATCATTTAACAATAATATTGCTCCACCTAATTAAATCTGATATAGTCAATGCACAAATATAGAATTTATTAATTTTAAAATGCAATTGAATATTACCAGACTTAAAGCCAACAGTTATTATACAACAATATATTGAAATCTAGGCGTAATTACAAATATTCTTTGTATATGAAAACAGAACGTTGAATGAGAAGGTTTAAGGTTTACATTCTTCTATTGATATTTCTTCATCCACTATTGTTCAAATATGTGCGTAATGCATTGACCTTGAATTCTGGGAAGCCTTTAAAATTATAAGTCTGACCAAGGTCCAATATTTGGGAAGTACTTTTTTTTTAACTTTGTTTCCTCGCTAGATGATATATCCTGTTGATGCTGAATTGCTTTTTTTTCTTGTTTTTTGTTTTATTCCTTTTTTTATCAGTTTTAAAAAGTTTTCTGGCCAATGATGGTACACTTAGCTGCACAGAAATGCTTCCAGTTTTTTAATAATGTCTTTATTCAACCTTCTGTTCCCTTATCACATCACACATTTTTCTCATTCCTGGTATAGTTGAAAAGATTGTTAATCCACAATTTGGGTTATGGGACAGAAATGTTGATTTTTAGTATTTGATATTTATCTGTTAATGTCTAAAGCCAGCTGCCGTCACATCAACTAATATTCTCTTCATAAAGAAACATTCCGTAAATAGTTGCTCGAGAGAGAGCAGAAAATGAAGTACATCTTCAATAGTTACAAGCATTATAAAAGTTTTTCTTTTCGCAAATGAATACCTGTACACAAGTGTTCAGAAACAACTTTTGGCTTCACACACACATTCAACAAATACAACTTTTGCAGAAATATATTTTACAAAACAAAGAGGTTCTATCTATTAAAAAATTCACACCATTTGGGAGGATTGCTGAGTTTCGGCCATCATGACCTTCGTAACAAAGTTAACAATTGCACTTGCAGGCTGATCTGGATCCAGTTCAGCAAATATGTGACATTGGTTGTCTGATGGACTCGTGGGCTTGCTTGCGACAAATCCAAATATTCGACTGAAAAGAGACAAACAGTTTCAATTTTTTTTAATACTTTTATTGTATAGACTCAAGAGTCTGTTTAGAAGAAATTTGGGTCCGTTAATGGACCCTTCACAAAATATTTTTACTTTAAAACGAACCCTTCACAAATTTCTTTGTCTTCATTATTGTTTTGTTAATCGAATAAACCCTTCCCAGGGAGGAAAAAAAAAAGATGGATGTAAACGAATTAAGTTTTGTCTTCGGCAGACGCTTCTTCCTTTATTCATCCGAAATGAATATTCTGCGTTCAGCAGTATAGGCTAAATACCAAATATTTGTATGTTGCATCTCGAATTTAGTAGCAGCAATTGCTGTTTATTTTATAAAAGTTACTTTTTTTTAAATTATAATTTTAGTGTTGAGCATAATCTTGTATGTCTTTACAATTAAAAAACTCCTCAAAATTTTTTTTTGCAATAACAGGACCCTATTTGCACAAATTACGAGTAATTTTTTCACAATTTTACAAAAACGGACCATTTACAAAATGTCTGGACAGACCCCTGAGACTATACAACACCCAAAACATTGGCAGTAATACAAAAATGTATAATACTAAAAGTATGTATAGGATTCTTTACCTTTTTTTCACATTTCTGAAACACAATCACTTTACTTTTTTTGTTGCTTGTCATTGTTTTACTACTAATTCATTTATTAATCATTCATCAAAAAACAAAGAATTAAAATGTGTTAAAAAATTTTACATGTTTTTTTTATGAATAAAAAAATGAGAGAGAGGAAAATTTGAGAATGAGTTTTAGTAGTAACCTACCAAAGAGTTAAGTTTGAATTTTATCGCACTAGAATCTTGATGTTAAAAACTTGTTTGTCGTTAAGAACTTGTTTGTCGTTAAGAAACAAAAATTATTGTGAAGCAATTGTGTGGTTTGGTGAGCTGAGTTTGATCCCTCTAGTATCTATGATGTAATTTACCTGTCTAAATCATGTTTGTTTCTCTTTTGATAGGTTAACCCAAAGATCGCCCAATGGCTCACAAGGAAGAACAGAAGTGGAATGATTTGGAAAGTATACCAGGACAATAAACGTGAAAATGGACCCCATTTTAAAGAAAACAGAATTTATTAACTGCATAGTCTTAAGGAGAAATGTAACTTATTTGGTACGGATTAATAGAGTTACATAATTAAATGTGATTTAATTTTCTTGCCAAACAGTATTTCACTCATTTTATTTTGTTGAAATATTTATACTCATTTTTTTTAAAAAAAAAACACTGAGTTTAATATCCCCCACCCTTTTAATATTACAAAAATGTTAACTTGATATTATCGATATTTAAAAACATGATAATGCAGAAAAAAAGCTGTTTTTTTTTTATTTCAGACACATCAGCCTGCTGGAAACATAAAATGAAATCCATAAATGAATCTTAAATTTAAAAAAATTTTATGTTTAGCTCTGTCTATGAAACTGTCCGTACAATTGAAGAACTATAAGGTATTGACATCAAAAATTAAAGAACCCTTAAAATATCAATATAGTTCCACTAAATGTCATTAAAAACTAGCTGTATTTATATATATATGAAAGACCCTAATGGACTATGTTGATAAACTGTGAAGTTGTCTAAAAATAGAACTAAATCAGCATTTATATGAGTATTGCAAAAGATATTCTGTAACTTGAAAGTTTAACTATGATAAATAAGGAATTTGTTGATTCTTCCACAATTGATTCATGAGAAAATTAAAAGATATAATCTGCAAATATACTTACCAAGTATTTATTGGCACTCCATCATCATTTGTTTGCGTCCATTTTCGATCACCAATGTCTAATCCACAATGACTGATGGCTTTCACTGGGTAGTGGCGTCTGAAGAATAATCTGAAAATATTTTAACTTTGATTAAAATGAAAGATAAATATTCGATGAATGAATTGTGTACAATGCCAGGACGATTAGTAAGTATCTAAAACATAACAGTACTGATTCTCCTATAGGTTAGTTTTAAACTGCCTCTTATAAGCATTTTTAAGTATATTTCTTCAACACGTTTACTTTATAAAATGTGCTACCAGCTTTGACCGACAAAATTTTTCAGGACATACTCTTCAACATTTTAGTTTTGTGTTTTTTAATAGCTGTGGTCAAATAGGCCTAGGAATAGTTGTTTTATCATAATTTACTGACTTGGCGAACTCAGCAAATTAATGGGCAAATCATTAAACCGTGTTTAAATGACTGAATCTAATCCTATTTGAATGAATGCAAAATTTATATTGCATTAAAATATTCAGTTCAAATGCTCATGCATAGCAAGTCCATAACAGGGAAGTGCCCGTAGCGGCAAAAAATGACATTTCCGGTGATAGATTGCATTACTAAGAGCTATGGTAGCCTGCTTATTTTTAATATCACCATGTTTAAATACCAGAATAAATAAAATTGAATGAAAACACACCCTAAACTTTTGAACATTCTGGATATTTTAAATTTCAAGATTTTGCAGAAACTACCCAGATGCAATATGAATTATTCATTGTATTCTATATACAGAGTGTTCTAAAATAACTAAAACTATACTCAGTGGCACAAAGGGCCAAGACCTGGCTATGCCCTTTTTCCAATTTTCTTGACCTTGCGCTCTGGGATACGAGAGCAGACGTTCCGTTTGGAAGGTCAGCTGAATGCGGAGCTGCCAGTGTTTATTCTCCTAGTATGCTTAGTACTCATTTTATCTATTTACTAAGCATAAGAGATATTAAAATAATATAAAACCTGTTTATGTAGTGGGGACTGGAATGCACTTGTCATATGTTGGAACTGCTTTTAAGCTTTATCTTCAATTAAAGTGTTTTTGGATTATTTTAATCTCTCTGTTTTTATCAAGTAATTGGTCAGAATTTAAAAACTTTTTTTTCACTTCAATTTGTGGACTTTCTGATGCATATATTTTTTGTTAATAATTCATTATACAAAATACGAAAAATATAGATTAAGATTATAACAGATTTGTAGTACAATATAACCTACTTTCTTGAGTTGTCTGTCAGTGTTATCCCTTGATTTGACACCTTAAAATGCACAGGGACAACAGTTGGCAAAAGTTTCTTTGCTAATGTCTCAGCTACCGCTTTCTTGACTGCCTGGGGACCCGTAAGGGATTCCATATCTACACTGTTTAAATATAGTACACTGCATGCTAAAAATAACAGAAACAAGAAATCATGAGTAAAAAATCATGCTCAAGTTGAAGTATAGTAAAATGAATTTTCTATAGGGTGTTTATGGACTATGATTTAAAACTTAAAATGCTCCAAAGAAATTTACATTCAATTGATATATTTTGTCTGATTTTAGCTTATGTTTTATGTTGGAAAAAATAATTCTTAATACATTAACACAGTATTCCGTTTAATACGATTTGGATAAAATAAGGATAATAGTTTAAAATAAATAAATAAAATAATAACTCTTACAAAACAATACATTTAAAATTAATTCAACTTCGGTCGATACAAAACGAGCGGTTGCCTGCTTCCTTCTTTTCTGCACCATATATTTCTACCTCAATAATTTTATGTCCTATATTGGATGAACAAAAGGACAGGGTTCTCAGTAGAACAGCAAAGTCAAGCATCACTGGCACTGATCAGTGAGTAGAGGGTGACCACTTTTAACTGCTGGCAAAAGTATGGGTCCTCGTTAAACCGTTCTACAGAAAAGTTCTCGACTTCAAGTGCAGGTCGTCAAGGTAACAAAGTGGTGAAATCATCTCTTCTGCCGAGGATCAAAATTGTGATGGCATGTCTTCAGATAATCCTGAGGGATGTTTCCTAGAGAGGCATCAATAGCCCATTATGCAGCTCGAGTATGAGGTTAATAAACTACTACTACTATAATACTTTTATGTTCCAAGTGCAATATTCCATTTTTAAAATTTCCTAATGCCTTATAACAAATGATTTTCAAAAACCAGTCAAATCCAAATTAATGAGAGGAAGGTTCCTATCAATAAGTCAGGAAACAGAGACTTCCTTAAAATCCTTATATGGTTGTCACACAAGAGAAAATTATAAGAAACCATAGACCCAATTTCCACTCTATCTTCAAAGACAATTTTGTAATTTGGATTTTTATACATTTTTGCTTAATTGCCCGAAAGGTTGCTCATAACGAGTTACCATTTTTCAGCATTTCTGAGCTTTGGCTACTATTATATATTTCTTATGTCTCATGTTATTATTCTATCATTTTTCTCTTTTATTACTTTGTGTGACTATTTTTCTTTTTTAAGTTATTTTCTGACATACTAATTTACAAAAGGCTGGCATGTAGATATCAACAATGGAGAATCAAACAGCCTTTAATTATTTGCAGTTTAATTAAAAGTAAGGAAGGAATAAAAAAAATGGATACTTAGACAAGTATTACTTGGATGTTATGAAAATTTTATGTGAATTATATAATTCATAATGGAGGGCTAATATATTCAAAATTTTTTCACATTTTTCTCCAAATTAATTCGGCTTCTTGTTCAATGTAAATTCAAATACAAAATTTTCAACCCTTAAAATAGTAATTCAATTTTTTTTTCATTTAGGAGATCTCTAAAATGTAGAGAGATTATTACTAGGGAGTACTATAATAAGAATAAAAAGTAAATCTTTAAAAATTACCTGCTCCTTGCTCTAGTAGAGTGTCATTATTAGATACTTGCTCATCCGATTCACCTGTTGGATCTAGAGAAAATGACGTATAGATAAGATTTTGAATAAAACAGATATTATACAATTGTTTTAATACATTTCTATTAATATCAATAAACAATTACTTTTGTTGCTACTTTATGCATAAACAATCTATAGAAACAGCAAATTTATTTTATAATGAAAAAAGAATTTAAAGCAGGCCTCAAAGAAGCAAGTGCACAAAGAGGTGACTTCTGTCGAAAAACAACTAAGGCACAACAATTATTATAAATTGTGAGATAACATACATAAACATGCGCTTTTTTTTAAAATTTATTTGAAATGTTGACCCTCAAAATATGGTCAAGATAGTTCAATCAATTTTGTAATTTAAAATAATTTAGTTAACATGATGTAAAAAAATAGTATTCCTTATAATTCTAAAAATTTATTATCTTTGAATAATTTAGTTTTTTAACTGTGCGCAAAAATTTCATTATCTCAAAATAGTTCTGGAGATATGATTAAATACACAAAAAGTGAAATAAACATAAAGGGATTCAAACTTTCGACCACTAATCCTACCTAAACTATTGGGACAATATTTCCCAAATAGCTGTTCTCCACATATTCTTAGTGGTCCAAAATTTTAACCCGTCAAAAAAATGGCATGATTATTCAGAGAAAGTAGCTTTTGTTACTTAAAATATAATCTGCACAAATGTTTTAGCTCCTAAATTATTTATTAGAGTACAGTAAGTCCCTCGGACCGTAGTAGCCCAGTGGTTAGAGAATCAGACTTCAATCCGGAGGGGCCGAGATTTGATCCTGAAACCCACCCAGTACATTTGACATACATGTTTGTAAAATCTTCCATGAGTAGAAGGATCAGGAGGGGAAAAAATTTTCCTTTCAGATCTATGTTGTGAAAGTGACCTCACAAATGAGTGATGCTGTCATCAATCTAAGAGGTTCTGAACTTAGACATACTTCCACTGTTGCATTACTCTAAAATGAACCTTCCTGACTTCATTCGCAAAACCCTCAGCTGACGAGCAAGTGTTATTAGACACAACAAAATAACTCCTTTGAATAATTAAGATTACATCCCAGTACATGAAAATTTGATCAGTAGATTAAAAGATATGGTGTTCCTTTTTGATCATTGCATATAAGTTTGTATGCTTACCTTGTTCTGGCAGAACTAATCTACAAGGCAATGCCAGAGGTGTTATTGAATGTTGATAAACCAAAGCAGATAAACTTCCTATAAAGACAAAAATAGTGTTACTATTACAGCACAGATTTTGATGTAAATTTTTTTTTTAAAAATTATATAACAAATACATACCAAAAACTGGTTCATTTGGACATCCTTTCAGACGAACTCCTTTCGTAGTTGGTTCAATCAAGAAGTGTCTTACCAATTCACTGGATGGGTCAGCTGCAATTCAATTATTCAATTGTATTTTATTTTTGTTTGCATATTCAGTATAAGATTTTTTAGAGCCATACACATACGAATGATTCAAGCAATATGCAATTAATTATTTTAGATATTTTCCAGAATTAACTTTATGTTAAAAACCGCAGATAATAAAATGGGCATGATTTTTTTGTTATTTTGTAAAAAAAAAAATTATAATTATGCTGATGTTGACTATTTCAATAGGTTGCAGATAAAAGCAAATTATTAGAAGATGCGCTCTTCGCACACTTGAATGAATGATAAAAAATATATAACAAACATGGTNGTAATTGTAGTTGTTGGATCACAATATGGAAATATCCCTCCTTCAAGGTGCCAAATAGTTTTAAAATTAGCATTTTTTTTTTTTTTTTTAAAAAAACATGCTATTTTCCTCAATTTTTTCAATAAGTTAAAGGGTGAAGCAAACTTTTGCAAAAAATATACTCTTTGTGCATACCAAATTCATAATAAAAATCGTAATTCTTTACCTTTTTTTTTTGAAGTTAAATTATTTGTTTTATTGTGAACAGTATGAATCAGATCATATTAAAGTAAAATATTGCTTAATGTTTTAGTAACATTATGGATTATTTGTGAAGTAAAATAATAAATTTACTTTAAATTATTAAAGTTCCTTTTTATTATTTATTGTTAAGATGGCTTACCGGATCTGTTAAGTTGAACATTAGGGGGTGGTGTAGCCACTTTCAAAGCCAAACCGTAAGCTCCAGGAAAGGAGTTACTGTCACGAACAACAAATGTCCCCGGTACTTTGTCTTTCAATATGCTGATGGCTGTAAAAATATGAGCAATAATGTAACACTTATTACTAAAAATGTTTTAATTTTCTTTGAACAAAAACAAAATTATAAAAGAACTTAAGCAATTTTTTTTTTAAATTTTACTGCGCATATTTTTAAAATTTTTTGAATTACGTTTTAAAATACAGGGTGATCTGTAATGACTGCTCTTACTACATATTTTTAGAATCCTTGTAAAATAAAAATTATGAAGATTAGATGTCACAAATATTTGAGCGAAATGGCAAAAATTCATTCAAATTTGACCCATCAATAGTGTGCTCAATAAGTAAAGGACAGCTAAAAATCAGTTTATTTGAAATGAAGATTTAAGGTCTTTTCTCTAGAAAGACTATTGCAGTCCAAATCTACAAAGCAGTTTTTTGTTGTCTGTTTGACTTTAATAATGATTGGTCAAAGTTTAAAATCTTTTATTTGCATAAATATTAATTAGTGATTTGCATAGCTTTGGAATTTTGAAAAAAGATTCTTCATACAAGGTAATAGGTAAATAGTTGTTCAAAACGTTCATTTATTGCTACAGTCATTGTCTGTGAGGTCAATAATTGTTGGCCATAACGATTTCCCCTTCTGTGTGTAATCAATATTCGCCGAAATTACAATGTATGATGCATCTCGATTCTAGCAGAAACGGATATCGTTTTTTTAATAACTTAATGCAAAAATACAGATGTTAAAAAAATAAAACAAAATTTTCATTACGAATAAAAATTGCTTATTAAGACGGAGAAAGATTTAGAAGACGACATGCTACATTACAATAAGCTTCGGTTTAAAATCTATTAATAAGAAAGGGGATTTTGATAACTATTAATTCTAAGTTTTTTTTATATTCTACTATGCATTTTATGGAAAAACCATTACGAATGTTGTCATTACGAATTCAATGTCGTATAATCGAAACTAAGAATAGGGTGTCCAATTAGCTCCCCCATATTATGGTTTACTAAAATATCATTCGTAAATTACTAAATTTTAGTCACCCAAAATTAAAACTCTAATTTCTCCGCTTGTCATATTACTATAAAATGTCAAGCATGTAAAAGAATATTTCGAAATGAATATTTGGGGAAACTGCTCTGTGAATCAAAACGTCACATTGTTTACGATTAAAAACAAAATTTCCATAAATAGAATTCTTATAAAAGTGAAAAATGATAACGCAACGTTATGTTATAGCTGGCATATGTTTAAAAATATTTTTGTTAGCGCAACAGTTATGAAAAATGCGTTAGAATAATAGACAAAAATCGACTAGAAACTATATATTCGTTTGTTTTGTTTTTTGTAATGAAAACAAACGGTTTTTAATCGATTTCGTAACTGTTATCTATAAAGTGATATGGAAAAAAAAATTACAACAATTGTGTGAGATAAAATCACGTAAATTCTATGAGGCATGGTTTGATAACACGTTGTGTATTTTTCATCAAACTTAATTCTCTGAATAATATCAACCCAAATATAATAATTTTTTTTCGTACCTTACAAAATTCTTTTTTTTTTTTTAATCCAACTCATTTCTCTGATCAAAATATCAAATATTTTTACGTATTTATTATGTAATATCACTACTCAATTTTCGGACAATTATTAGGATTTAAAAAGCAAACAAAATTTTTAAAAAAAGAAAAAATCTGTTTTAATTATTTTATTTTTAACATAAATAGAAAAAGATTGAATTCCTTTGAAAAATTAAAGTGTTTATTTATATATATTATAACCGGCCATAAATAGTCATAACCTCAAACCCAACCCAGAAAACAAGGAAACTTTTAAGTACTGATCACTTGCTTGCGCTTACATATGATAAATACTTAAAATCTCCCTCCTGATTCGTGCACAAGATCGAGGTGTTTTTAGAGTGAGACCGTATTTGCGTCACAAGGAGAGAAAAACCATGAAAATCTGTAACCACGACACGAAAAAGTAACACACTAACTCACCTTCCTCTCTTGAAATATTAGGCTTGTACCAATACTTAGATGTATCCTTCACAAACATTGGATGTTGATGAATTATATCAGTACCTTCTGAAAAGAAAGTCAATGTTAATCAAGTACAATAACTAATTCCAGAAAAGATTAGTAAACTTGACATTAATGAATTTTAAGCATAGATTTAAATTAGACCTCAAATAAGGTGCAAACAAAAAATAATAGAATTCCTACCATTTAGGGAAACCATGCTGGAGGGTCGAGATTGACCGTAGTAAACACTTGGTGAACTCTGACCATTGGTATTGTTTGTTCGAGGGACTCCAGGCATATCGTGAAAGTTTATCAAGGTGGCCGGTGATGGACTGCGATCCTTACTGTGGAAGAAATATAATTGAGTTTTATTTTAAGTACAACCCTTTGAATAATGATCCGAGAGGCAGTGTCACAAAATACTTTAATATATGCTATATTGTATGTATAAGGTGATCTGTAATTACTGCGCGTAATATATATTTTTTAAACCCTTGTAAAAAATGAAGTAAATTGGTATTATAAATCACATATGCGATTTTTTCAAGCAATGATTTAATTTTAAGGGAGGAAAAAATCAAAATTTGAGGATTATCAATTGAGGTTAAACAAGATTGAAAATATCAAAACCAGTTTCAATTACGGGATAAAATTTGAAGGTGTTTTAAATTATTTGTGTTCCCCTCTCAATCAATTTTTTCAGGTGATAAAACAGGTNTATATATTGTTCTGTAAAGAAAACCCTTACTATACATTTTTAGAGTTCTTGGTTAAATATTAATTTTAGAATCCTAATAAAAAACGAGAACAAAATAGTAGGCACATTGGGGGTGCCAAATTAATATTTAACCAATGTAAAAGAAAGGCATTACTGAAAGACTGGAGTAATTAGTAACAAGGCAGGTTTGTTACTAAAAATCTTCAAACTCCAATTACTAAATCTATTTTATTGTTTATTACATCTGCCTTCCTCTACTGTAATTCGGCAGATTTCGATAATATCGCTTTGTTTTTTTCCTCAGTTGTTTGCGACGGTACCAAATTAGAAAACTTTTTTATGTTCATTATTGATAAGGATTCTAAAAATACATATTAAGGGCGGTTTTTACGGAACACCCTGCATAATGTAAAAAGCGAAACTTTCTATGTGAACAGCAAGGTTTTAAAGTGCGGAAGTTCACTATTCGTTTCAACTACGAATCACATCCACAATATAATATTTATCTTTCAAATGAAATACATGAATCAATAAAAAAATAATTATTTAACTTTATACTCTTTGAAATGGTCCTTAGAAACCAAATAAATAATTTTGGCAAATTAATCTTTTTATATTTCTATTATCGCTTAAACATAAATACTACGTAAAAAACTCTAAAATCATTTGTGGTATGCAAGAATTTAAAAATATTCAAATGACTGACTATTTTGTGACACACTGCCTCTTGGTCAAAATTTATGACACTGCTGCAGACAATTAAACTACGAATGTTTTTACATGCTACATTTTTAATAGCTAGGCTAGGGAGAAACACCACACACAACATATTTTTAAAATATAAGGAGAAGCAAAGAATAAAATATCACACACAAAATTTTTAATAGCTAGGGAGAAATAAAGTTTAGAATATGGATGCTCTAGATATCCAATTTTTTTTATGGGAGGGGGGAGAGGTAATGGTGGTACGAAATTCAAATACACAGCTAGGCTGAATTTAAATTAATAATAATTTAATGGAATTTTCTTCGTCTGAGATATTGCAGGAGACTTTAAGAGATTTCAATGAACCACCCTAAATAACTTTTGATCTAATGATCGGATCTTTTCGTTCTAGGACTTAATGGCTTGAGGGGGTGTCCTCAAATATGCCAATTAATTAGAGTAGACGATGTTTTAAGTTACAAAATAAGACTCAAAAACGTACTTTCTCTGAATAAACATATATTTTTCATGACAGATTCGGATTTCTGTCCCCAAAATATGATCCCCATAGTTTGGTCCAGAGAGCAATCCAAAATTTGAACCCCTTAATGTTAATTTCACTTTTTGCGTATTTCGCCATATCTCGAGATTTTAAACGAATTAAAAAACTTTGGCACACAATTATAAAATGCGTTCGTCCAAAAAATATTCTATACAAAAAATATTTATTATTTTATTTAAAAATTGGCGAAAAATTTTGAATTTTAAGGTAAATAATATTTTACATAATTTTAACGTATGTAATTTCACATAACAAAATATAAATGAAATCGATCGAATATTCTCGATTTCTTAGGAATTATTTAATCGATGTCGCTCAAATTTTGTGTTTTGTCATGTAAAATTACATACTTTAAAATGATGTATAAAATTTTATACCTTACTATTCTTTGCACTATTATTAAATAAAATACTAAAACATAATAAATATTTATTAAAATTTATTTTTGTATAGAATTATCTTTAAACAAACAAATTTTATAATTGTTCGCAAATTTTTTTTTAATTCGCTTAGTTCTCGAGTTATAGCGAAATACACAAAAATTAACATTAAGGGGTCTAAACTTTGAATTGCTCACCTGAACAAACTATGGGGTAAAGGTATATTTATTCATATAAAGTACATTTTTGTGCCTGATTGCGTGATTTAAAATAAATATTGTCTGCAGGAATTAATTAGCATTTTTAAGGTCACCCTTTGGAACCATTAAAATTGAGTCCTAGAACGTGAAGATCTGATCATTAGATCAAAAGTCATTCAGGGTATTCCGTTTTTTCCTTGGGGTACATAGTAATGTATTCAGTGAACAATGTGGGAAACATATATTTTTTTAGAGACCTTATTAAAAATGAAGTTAAAAAAGTAATATAAAATTAGGAATCGCGAATTATTATTCAAACAAAACAACAACAAAATAGTATCGAAATCTAACGAAACATGACTGAGGAAAAAAGGGAGTGAAAATATCAAAAATTTGTTTAATTACCAGGGAGTTGAAAGGCGATTATTAGAGACACTTCCTGCAAACAAATTGTTTTTGATATTTTTTTTTATTTCGTCTTCACTAATAACAAGTGCTTCAACATATTTCGATTGCTTTAAGTTTTTTTTTCACTGAAATCTTGATTTGTAATCTCCAATGTGCATACTTTTTTATATCTTTTTTGACAAGGATCATAAAAATATATATTAAGGACGGTGATTACAGGACACCCCGTAAGTGTCCATCGATTTTTATTTCCTCTTCATATTATCAAACGATTTTTAGTTTAGTTAGATTTCATTAGTTTAAGACATGCAATTTCTTGTCCAGAATTTCTTATTTATTGTAAATATACTTATCACTAGCGTTAAGCTATTAGATATGCAGAAAATTATTTAACAATTAAAATATAACAAATTAAAAATAAAAGTCACAAAAAGGGTTCGCCCCATGCAAAATGTGAACATGCTATAAAGAGAAAACATCTTATCGCCGTAATTTTGTGAAATGCTGATCATGCAACACATGGTGAGTTGCACTTACTTCCAACCTGGTTCAACCATACAAGACCACCTGCGACCGGTATTGAAGGATTCCCTATAAGTGAATCTATGGCCCGGACTATAGCTAGTTAGTGAAAATGTTAATTCGGATTAGTGAGCACACACATAGATTGTTAATTGACATCACACTTTTCAAGTTTATAGTTACACAACAGAGAATTAACAAGTTAATAGGTTAGGCATGCTATTAAGGGAAATAATCACATAAAAAAGTGCATTAATGGAATGTTTTTGTACAACATTAAACAAAAAAGGAAGACCTAATAAATTTAATTTCATTTTTCAAAATTAAAACTTATTCATTAAACTATTTTACTTTTTATTTAGACAGTAAATAAAAATGCAGTTCAAAATTAAATAAATAAAAAAATTTTATTCAACTTATTTTTTTTAAATTTAATTTATAAATAAAATGTAAAATTATCTTCAAAATTTTGGTTAATTTATTTGCAATCTTCAACTGTAAAATAAATTATTTCATAAGTTAAAAAATTAAATTAAAGATGAGATATTTTTGTCAGTATACTATAGTATCCAAATGGAAGTTTTCATAAAATGTGCACCATTTTATGACATTGCTTCTAATAATATCATTCATTCGAGCTATTTCAAAGATTTTGGCAAGGTAAAATAAAAAAGCCGCTATTTAAGTATAATATAACTTTACCGTTATAATAAACTGAAAAGAATTGAATGGATTTAAGCGCGAACAAACATTTTATATATTTAAAAAAAAATATTAATTTCATTAAAAAAAAAAACACCATTTTGGAGAAATTTTTTCCAGTCCGATGAAAATTATTTAAAGCGATGAATAATTCTCAATTTTTGCACGTTTTCAATAGCCCGAACCTTAATTTAATAGCCACCTTTGCACATTTTTGTATAATGGTATAGATGTTTAGACATTATTTCAACAGTAGATCAAAAACGATTTTAATTTTTTTGAAAAACTAAGAGGCTCTGCCCCATCAATCACAAAACCTCACAATTGCTTCTCCATTCATCATTATTTTTCTAAAAATCTCGAGTTGCAATTACCCAATTCATAAATTAACAAAATATAAAGTTAAAAAGATAGAAAGTTTTAATTACCGTGATAGTAAAGGACTCTTTGGAGGCAGGTTGGAACACGTTGGATCTAAAGAAAAAAAACATATTATTGCTTTTCTTGTTATATAAACAACAAGGACGGTTTATGTCTTCTTTTTTTTGTTGCAAAAATGACGATTTGGTCGATATTTATAACATTTTGAGGATTACTAAGCTTCGACAAACCAATAACTTGGAAAATCAGTTCTTCCCGATAGTTATTACACAGTGGAGATGAGCGTCGTTTTTTTTTTCTGCCCCCGAATCAGCTTTTATGGGCATATATCATTCTCTCCACTTGGTCTTCATATAACTTGACTTTAAAAAATTTCATATCTCAAGAAAAATTACATATTAATTATGATTGCAATTAAATAAAAATAGGTATACCTGAAAGTTGAGAGTGAATCTAACATTTGAGTATAGAAATGGATGTTTGTGGGGAAAAAAAGAACTGTTTTTGTTTAATATCCGTCGTCGAACAGCCGATCCTATTTTGGGTTTACGACTACTAATGTTCAACTCCGTCGCCTTGTCATTTTGAACCAATCCAGAAGACAAGGAGGCTCCTGGATAAGTACCCCAGAGGTATGATTTGTTATGGGAACATGGAGGACTTGGTGACTCGACAGATTTAACGTGCATCAGTCACCATTTACTAAACGGGGGATCTTCGGCTGGTGAGGATCAAACTCTCGGACACGGACTCAGTGCCCTACCGAACAGGCTATCCCGGCCAGAAACAACTGTTTGCAGAACTTAGTTTGGCAGATCTAAAAGCTGTGAGTACAACAACAAAAGAATCCATCATAATTTAAAATACTAAAATAAAGGTTAACAAAAATGCCGAAATCAGATAGTGCTACATTTTTCAAATATGCGTAGCGGAACCGTGGTGGCTCAGGGGATAGAACGCTCACCTCCCAATCAGGTGTACCGGATTCGAATCCCAGCGATGACTGGTCGATACGAATTCAGCTCGCACCAATGACAGTGCTGACGTAAAATATCCTCAGTGGTAGATGGATCATTGATTAGAATCCCCTCTCCGTCGGCCTAAATGTGGGAGGTTTGACTCTTCATGTAACGCAATTGCGGGATAGTTACACCAAAAAAGTCCTTCACGAAGGCTAGTTTATCTCAATACTTGATCCTGGAACTTCCTCATCTTTTTTATTGGGTTCAAAATTACAAGACTATATATAGAGTTGAACTATATATAGTCGTAAACTCAAAATTGGGTCGGCAGTTCTACGACGGTTATAAAATAAAATAAAATATGCGTAGTGAGATTTAACTTTTAGTGATATCGAAATTAAAAAGTTAAAAGAAAATATGGTTTTATTTTTCTGGTTTTGATAAGGAGTAGGGGAGAGTGGGGTTAATTGTAACATTTTTTACTTAACTATTTTTAACTAACAAAAAATCCAATATATTATTAGTATTTAATTGACAGACGAGTAAAGTAGACTATCCTCTACTGGAAAAAAAATACCTAATTTTAAATGTTATTATATTAGTTATTAACAATTTTTGACAGTCGAGCACTTGTTACAATTGTCCCCACTTAAGGGGTCAATTGTAACAGTTCATAAATTCAACTAAAACATAGTTAATTATACATATTATCATAGTTGTGATATATTTCTTTATTGATCAAAATAGTAGTGATATTTTAGGAGTAAAAATAATAATGAGCAGAGACCTAAAGGATTAAGCTTTTAACTTTAAGGGGTTAAAAATTTTAATTTATGCTGTGAAAGGTGACAAATAAAATAATGCACATGCAACATAATATAAATGATATAGGAAACTATTGGTGGTTCTTAAAGAGTTAAGTAATGGTTTGTAAACATAAGATTATTTATTTTCAGCTGTTACAATCGTCCCTTTACTTATTGTTACAATCGTCCCCAAGACGCCATTTCAGCTTCATTTGTTAAAAACAATGCTAGTTAATTAGCAAAACTGATCTTTTTTTTTATTGAAATGTTAATTAAGGTGTCCACTTAAATATTCGGTTACTAATTTTTATTTGTTTAAACAAAATTACTTTGTTACAATATAATATTCTAATACCAAAAAAAGTACTTACGTAGCGTGAAAATATCTTTTGTGATGTAACTCTTTCAAAAGTACATAAAAATGGTTGCCAGCAGGGGTGTACATGTAGATTTATTAAATACACCTTGTGCGCCACCTAGGAACCAAATCTAGAACCCGACACTCGAAATTTTTGCTCTGTTACAATCGTACCCTGCTACAATTGACCCCACTCTCCCCTACTATTGATTTTCCTTAGAATATGACTAAACGTAACATAAATAAATGAATGGTTTTCCTTACCTTGGTTTTGATAAGGAGTAGCGGGTGGCACCGGGAAAGCAGGGGTAATAGGTCTGTCCATCTTAGAGGGGCTGCTTGGGGGGCTTGATCCAATAACTGAAGGGGACCAAGATGAATTTTCAGTTAAATAATGACCCTGAAAAAGAAGAAATATAGAACATTTTACACATAATAGTTAACTAACTAGGGGAACTTATAAAGTATATAGTAACATAGTTACAAAGTATATAGTTACAAAGCATATAGTATAATGGTCTCGAATTTTTAAAAATGCAACAGTTAATTTTATAATTGTAGCATTAAATAATATATTAAATTGAGAAGGGAAGAGATACAAACCTTGTTGGGAGTTGACTGAGAGAATGGTAGGGGTGATCCTTGATGATCTCGAGGACTGTTTGTGGAACTAGCAGACGATACTGACAAAGCTTGAAGAGTTTGTTCCAATTTATCGAGTTTAGCTGTAATTCAAACAAAAATCGTACTCTTCAGTTAACTAACATATTAGAGAAAAGTAAATTGTTAGCATAGTAATGGTAAACAATATTTTTAAAAAAAAATCTAATAATATAGAAATATTTACAATAAAAAAAAACGTCTGGTTGATTCTTTTTGACAAGCTATGTTGAATAACATTTTTTTTATCAAGCAGATTCTCTTAAAAAATGATTTTAAACGACATTTTTTACACTTCATTTAATGTGTAACAGTTTCTGAAAATTCAATATTCTTCAGTTTTATAGTTTATTATATTTAGTTCTGCAGTTCAATGTACGTTTCTTAACATATGTTCGATTTTTTCCATAAATTAATTGCGGGGTATGATTCGGGTTGCGCCGTAATGATCGCTCTTGATATAAACGGGATTTTCCTAAATGATCGTTTTTTTTTGTTGTATAAATGGGTTTTTTTCTAAACATCGATATTTATTTTAACAGAGAGATCCGTAATGATAGCTCTTCAGAAAACGGGATGTTCCGTAATTATCGCTCGTCATACCGTAACGGTGGCTCTTCATATAAGTGTGTTTCGTAAGGACCATTCTTCGTATAAACGGGATTTTTCGTAAGAATCTTTCTTCATTTAAAGGAGATGATCCGTAATGGTCGCTCTTCCTATTAACGGAGTATTTTATAATGTTTACTCTTCATATAAACCGGATTTTCGGTAATGATCCGGGATGTTCCGTACTGATCAATCTTCATATAAACGGGGTGTCACACATTGACCGATCTTCATATCACAGGGCGTTCCATAATGGTCGCTCTTCATATAAACGGATGTTTCGTAAGGATCCTTCTTCATATAAACGGGATGTTTCGTAAGGATCCTTCTTCATATAAACGGGATGTTTCGTAACGATCCTTCTTTATGTTAACGGGGTGTTTCGTAAGGATCCTTTTTCATGTAAACGGGATGTTTCGTAAGGATCCTTCTTCATATAAATGGGATGTTTCGTAAGGATCCTTCTTCATATAAACGGGATGTTTTGTAAGGATCCTTCATCATATAAACGGGGTGTTTCGTAAGGATCCTTCTTCATATAAACGGGGTGTTTCGTAAGGATCCTTCTTCATATAAACAGGATTTTTCGTAAGGATCCTTCTTCATATAAACGAGATGTTTCGTAAGGATCCTTCGTCAGATAAATAGGATGTTACGTAATAATCGCTCATCATATAAACGGAATTTTTCGTAACGATCGTTTTCATGTAAACCGGGTGGTATTTCGTAAGGGTTGCTATTCACCTAAATGTGGTGTTTTATAATGATCACTCTTCATATAAAAAGAATGTTCCGCATTGATCGCTCTTCATATTTGAGTATTTCATAATGACTACGCTTCATATAAACTGGGTTTTCCGTAATAATCTCTTTTATTGTATATTTCAAGAATCCTTGTAAAAAGCGTACTACTCATAGGGGATCACAAATTAATATTTAAGCCAAGAAAGAAAAAAATTAAACAAATTTAAATCAAATTAAATGAATCAATCTAAACCCAACGAATCTAGTGAAGAAGGCGGGACTGAAAACACAAAACTGGTTTGATTGATCGTCCAAACAGAGAGGAGTTGGAAAGCGGTCACTAAAAACTCCTCAAAGTTTTATCAGAAAATCAAACTGGTTTTAATGATTTTACTTTCGATTGCTTCAGTGATGAAGACAAGATTTCTTTACTTTTTGTGTTTTTATTCCACACTTAAACATTAATTTTTGTTCTTCAATGTGTATATTTCATTGATTTCATTTTTGAAAATGATTTTTAAAAATCTACATCTTTAACGCAAGATTACAAAACATTCTGTATTTTTACACATTTTATAAGATTTAAAGTTTAAAAATAATTATACGCACTTTAAATTAATACTAGCATTTAAAATAAGAAGGAACAAAAATGTTTTCTAACTCTGACCTTTTAGTAATAGGATCACCGTCAAGATTAAAATAATTTATAAACAATTGATTTGATGATAAAGGCTAGTGACGAATAGTTTTAGAAATAGGTTATTCCAGATTATAAATACGAAGGATGTTTTTTAAGTAAGGGCCGTTTGAAAATAAAAACCAAACGAAAGAAAACTTTTAAGAGGTGAATTTATTTTCAGATTCTACATCGTTTCTCTTTTTTTTCTGCAGCTTAGCTGCCAAGTTTGTTACCACAGCTACCCTCATTATAGTAACTTCCGATAAACAAGAGGTCATGACCGTTTTCATGTCTTCATCATCATAGTACTGGTTGCTACCAAAATGATGTTAGAAACATCGGAAAAGGTGAAAATCACTTAGCGCAAGGTCTGGGCTGAATTGAGGGGTGGTCTAAAACTTCCCAGCCAAAAGAGTCCAAATAAAGTTCGGGACTGAGCTGTGTAGACAGTCATTGTCATGGAGTACCAGAATGGCAGAGAATTTTGCTACTTCGCAAATCTGCCAGTGAATGTATGCAGCACACAGGTTTTCTGCTACTTAAAACAAGTCACTGACTGTATCTAGTTCATGGTGGGCAATGTGTTAAATTTGAACATTTTAAAGACACGGAACTGACCGTACAGTTTGCCTACACAGATGCAACTGAGCACAGTTGCTCCCGAAGAATGTCGGGGAGCCACGATGACTCAGAGGATAGAGCCTTCACCTTCCAATGAGATGACCGGATTTGAATCCCAGCGATGGCTTGATACAAATTCCGCATCCGACTTGCATCGACCTCAGTGCTGTCGTAAAATATCCTCAGTAGTAGACGGATCATGGGTTAGAGTCCCCTTGCCATCAGGTAAAGGTTTTCGTGGTTTTCCTCTCCATGTAACGCAAATGAGGGTTAGTTGCATCAAAAAGTCCTCCCAATACTTGATCCAGGAGTTCCCTTATCTTCTGGATTCGGTTCAAAATTACAAGGATTCAGAGCTGAACATGGGTTATCGTAAACTCAAAAATTAGGTCGGCCGTTTAACAACGGTTATGAAATCAAATCAAACCTCTTGAGAGAGTTTCAAATTGGCAAATTTCTCTAAATACTTGATCCAAGAGTTCACTTGTCTTCTGAATTGGGTTCAAAATGACAAGGCTACGGAGTTGAACATAAGTAGTCGTAAATCCAAAAAATTGGGTTGGCTGTTCAACGATGATGGTTAAAAAATTATAAAGAATGCCGGGACACGACACAATTATTCGCTGCGGCGCAGGCGTCGCCTATTAGACTACACAGCAAAATGGCCCTTACTTAAAAAACAACCCTCGTAGATATTCTACAACCACAGATAGGGTTATATGATATTAGTGGTATTTTTTAAATAAAAAACTAAGAAATAAAGCAGATGTTATTTTTTCTTGTGGTTTAAAATATCTTTGAATTCAGTGTTCCCAGTCTGCTTACAGTTAATATCCCATTGCCCCTGAGGGACTGATATTTAGAAACAAACAGTTTTACAATTCTAAAGGTTTTCATTTTTTTCGGAATAAATATTCCCAGGCTGAGGATACTGTGTCAGAAAAAAATGAAACGCACTAGTTTCAAAATAAAAAAACTCAACACTTAAAGAACTTAAATGCTAATAAGAAAAATCATCTAAAGTACCTGTGTCTGGTAATCCGTTTGATTTGTTGGCTAATCCTAGTAGACCTGGATCTGAAAATTCAGGTTTGGGTGAATAAACATTCCCATAGACAGTTGAGGAGGCGATTACATTGTGAGGAGAGGTTTGTTTATTGGCGATCTGTTCTTTCGCCAACTGATGAGCTTTCTTTGTTGTGACGAATGGTCTTTCTCTATCGTATGAGGTGTCTGAGTTTTGCCTTGTTATGGGTTTACTTTGAGTTTGAAATTGAGGATATCTGAAAATAAATAACCCTAAATATAGATTCTTTAAAGTAAAAAATCATCAACAGGTCAAACATAGGAAGTGATAAGAAAATTCAGTAACAAAAGACGTCAGATTAAAGTAAAAGGCAAAATTATTTACGATTCCTGAATAACTTTTGATCTAATGATGGGATCTTCACGTCTTAGGTCTCATTCTTAAAAGTTCAAAGGAGAGACCTCACATATGCTAATTAATTGGTGCAGACCCTATTTTAAATTACGAAATCAGACACACAAACGTTCTTTCTCTGAATAAAATTACCCTTTTAGACGAATTCGGATTTTTGACCCCCAAAATATAGGGAGTAGCGGCAATCTGGAAAATAGGGTCCCCATAGTTTGGTCAGGAGAGCGATCCTAAGTTTCGACCTCAAAATGTTAATTTTATTTTTTGCGTATTTCGCCATATCTCGAGAACTTTTAAACGGATTTAAAAGTTTTTGCATAAAATTAATTGCATAAAATTAATGCATAAAACTAATTTTGCATATAATTAATTTTTTGAATAAAGTAAGTCATTTTACATCATTTGAAAGTAAGCAAAATACAAAATTTCAGCGAGATCAGTTAAATAGTACTAGTGAAATCGAATTTTAAATATGCGAATTTTTTAAAATTTTTCAATTCAATTTTTCAGGGACTATTCAAAGGATTTCGTTCAAATTTTGTATTTTATCATGTAAAATTACAAACTTTAAAATGATGTAAAAAAATTGTATTCCTTACAATTCAAATTTTTTTTCCAACTATTATTAAATAAAACAATAAAAAATAATACATATTTACTAAAATTAATTTTTTTTTCATAGGTTCTTTGGGTTAAAGAATTTCATAATTGTGAGAAAACACTATTCGATTTGTTTCTCGAAACATGGCAAAATGCGCAAAAAGTCAAATTAACATCAATCAAGATTGAAGGGTTGAATCGCTCTCCTGACCTAACTATGGGGACTATATTTCACAGATTGCTGTTTTCTTTGCGGATCCCCGTTTTTTATTTTGCGCACTGTACATTGTTCAAAGAAAAAAAAATTTAACAACTTCTTATTTTAATATTTTTTCTTCAACAAAATTGGATAGTGTGTTGTTTTTCTATGAAATTGATTAGAATTTAAGGTGCGTAATATGGATTATTTTTTGATTATGTGAGGATAATAAATGAATGAAATACCTGTAGCGGGTAACATCTTTGCTGCTACTCCTCTGGGGTAAGAGGGGAGAGGATGGGGCACTCGTGTTTCTGTAGACTGGAGGCTTCATAGGAGCTATTTGGCTAGATGACACGTGACCGTTGTAAGTATTTACATGTAAAGGTAGCGTGTAACTTAAGCCCTAAAAATAGACAATATTACATCAATGAAATGTAAATACTATAAATATATTATTACATCAACAAAAGCGTAAAAATATTAATACATCAATTGAAAAAATGCAGCGTAAAGAAAAAATGCAGCGTTTTCTCCGCGACGCAGGAAAAATTTAATGTAGACAAAGCTGAGAAAAATTTGTAAATCTTTACAGATGTAATTTAGATAAAACACAATATTTCGGTTAATATTTAATTAAAAATTATGGTTCAATACTTTTTTTTTTTCAAATTTAGTTATTTTAAATATTTAGAAAAACCATGGTCTTGGGAAAACGGGCGATTATAATGGAATTTCAATGCAATATATTGAAATTTCAACGAAGTCATTGTAGAAAAATGTGATTCATGCTAGAGTATTGCAGAGATGCCAACTACTCAGTATACGACAAAATAGGGAGATTTCGCATTTTATTCGTTAGCTTCCGTAAGCAAGACTTGAATCAACTGCGCATGCTCACGTTTATTTTAGATGCTACGTCTCTTTACGTTATGTTGGCGACAAAGCTACAAGCTTTTTAGCTGTTAAATGTTGTTTTCTGTATAAACCTACTTTCGAACTTAAAAACATGGACATGAAATAAGAATTTGAAGAAATATATTGATGACATTTAGAAATGAATCGTGTGATATTACAACAGTTGGTTGAACGAAGAGATCGACTACGTCTTTTGTAAATGTTTTGATTTTGTAGTCAAAGTTAAAACAATATTCCACTAAGTTAGCGTTTTTAACTAGCGGATTTTTGCGAAATTATTATTTTCACTTACGTTAAGTTTGGTATTTTTTCGCAGGCGCATGCACACTAAGAGAGCGCATGCGTTATTACTTAAAAATCTTGCGTAAATTTGCGAAATCTCCCTAATATTTAAAAAAAAAAAACGGTAGCGAACTAGAAACTAAAATTTGCAGATTTTCAGTTAATTATGCCAACTTTTTAAAAGGCTCAACTGTAACAAAGCGGCGTGTTAAATAAAGTTTTGAATTATTTAGAAGTATTGGTGAGTAAAAATCCTATAAAATGAATATAATAAACAAAGAGCGGCCGGGATAGCCTGGTTGGTAGGGCGCTGGACTTACGTTCGTGAAAACGGGAGTTTGAATCCAGTCGGCCGAAGACTCCCCGTGTAGTAAATGGAAACTGGCGCACTTTAAATCTCTCGGGTCACAAAGTCCTCTATTTTCCGTAACAAATTACACCTCTGGAGGTACTTCAAATGGAGAATAATAGTTCTCTGGTCAAAATTACGTTCTGTGGATGAATGAATGGATTCGCCCTATAAACGGGTGTTACGCATAGGTGTGACAAAAGCCGAATTCTTGGCAATAGATGGAGCCACTGGAAAACAAGAACAATCGCACCCCTTGCCTTAATGGCCTACGACAAGAACAACTGAAGAGTCTTACATTAAAAGACGGCCAATTGAAAATATTTATCCGCTTTCCGGAGCAAGTTGGCATCTCTGGTATAGTAAAAAGAAACTTTTAAACTCATTATGCAATGAGCGAGACGACTGATATCTCTCAGAATTATGTCCTTTTTATACTAGGTATTATATTTAAACAAAATTTAGCGGGTACTGGCAGCCAATTCGTGGTCGGTAAAAAATTGAGCTTTGCATAAAATTGAAGATATATACTTGCATCTATGTGGGGGAAAAAAACTGCTGTAATCGAACTCAATCTCAATTTTCATTTCAGAAACAAGAAGCTTCCTTTTTTAAACTAATTAACTAGTCAAAACATCATAAAAAAATATTGTCAGACAAAATATTATTATTAATAATAGTTTTTCAAATCAGGGTAAAAAAAATCTATAATAAAAATGGAAGCTCTTTTTTAAATATTTTGAAGTTACTCGCGCTCAACCACCATTTTGATATGATTGAATAATATTTGACGAGAATATTTTGAAAACTTTAGTGTCATGCTCCTTCCTCAAGATTTTTATTTTATTTTATAACCTGCTTTGCATAGTCGACCCTGAGTCAATCAATGTACACTTCCGTAGCATTGCAAGCTTGAATCGAACCCAGAAGACAAGGGAACTCTTGGATCAAGCGTTGAGACTAAGTAGTCTTCGTGAAAGACTTTTTTTTATCCGCTTTGCGTTACGTGAAGAAACCCGATTAGTCAGACGGCAAGGGGATTCTAACCCAGGATCTGTCTGAATTCGTATCAACCATTATTATGGGATTCGAACCTGGGACACCTCATTGTGGGGTGAGCGCTCTATCACCTGAGCCACAGCTGCTCTCTCAAGATGTTTGATTTTATTTTATAACCGTTGTTAAACAGCCGATCTAATTTTTGAGTTTAAGATAACCTATGTTCAACTCTGAATCCTTGTAATTTTGAACCCAATCCAGAAGATAAGGGAATTCCTGTATCAAGTATTGGGAGGACTTTTTATGGAACTAACCCGCATTAGCGTTACATGGAGAGGAAATCCACGAAAATCTCCCATGGTTAATCTGTCAGCAAGGGGATTCATAACACCACTGAGGTTATTTTACGTCTACATTGTGGTTGGGGAAAGCCGGGTGCGGAGTCTGTTTCTAACCAGTGGGATTCGAACCTGGGTCACTTCATTGGGAGGCGAATGGTTTATCCCCTGAGCCACCGCGGCGCTTTCAAAATGTGCGACTGTTTTGGGACTTACTGGGAGAGCTTGTATGTGGGTCGTCAAAAAGAACCAAATTATTAACAGGCGCTCAAGTCAGGTTAAAGGCGGGTCACCACTAAAGCTATAGAGTTTGAAATCACCTTGGAAGGAGATGTTTCCCTGGATGAAGATGAGAAATCCAATCCTAGACTGATGTCTTCTAAAGACTCTCCGTTCGTCACAGTCTTCTTCTGTGTCCTTCTCAGTTCATCCAGCATTAGCTGTTCCTTCTGATGTTTGTCTTCCCATCCCCTTCCTTCTTTGCGAGCCTTCAACTTCTCCTGCTGCCTCTGAAGCCACGAATAGGAATTGTCTTTGTACCTACAGGGAGAACAAAATTCTTCTATTGCAATTGTTCTATCGTTTGTGTAATTGTTCTATTCATTTCTGCTTGTGATAATAATAATAAAACAGCGTGTATGTATTTCTGATTAAATGTGAATACATGGTGGCCTGTACTGTCGTGCAAATGAAAAAACAACGTAAGTACTTCACGATTAATTCTGAGAAAAGTGGTATGCTAATGCTATGAACGCTACTGCTAATACTATCGATTGATGAGTCAGAGGACTGTAACACATAATAATTTATTTACAAATTTAAAGATATAAAATTGACAGGATCATTGTGAAGTTACAGCGAAATGCGCCTTGTTCCGTAGTTGAACACAACTGATGAAATTGACATGAGCGCCGCCTCACGGCATAACTTGACACTTTTAAACAAATTTACTTTAGAAAAAAAAATTCTTTTGCAATATGTAGCTGGCAACACAAAGTTGCAAAAATATAAAAATCTCAATTTTGTATTTTTTGTCGCTTGCGTTGATTTTTCAATTGCACGAGATTTTTCAACTACGAGATTTTTATCAGACGTGATGACAGAAGTCGTCCTAAATTTGCGCACCCCGAAGCTCAATCTTTTAAAAATTAGATTGTTCAAAAAACAATTAAAGTTACATTAACAGCTTTTTATACTGCCGTGGAAATGAAAAAACAACGAAAGTGCCTCAAGGTAGATTTCAAAAAAAGCGGCTCAACAACTTTGTTCCTTTCTACTGTTAATTCTATGATCGCTAAATTAGAATTTCAAAAACTGATACAACAAAATGTAATTTTGAAAAAAAAAATCTTTTGCAATAAGTAGCTTATCATATAAAATTACCAAATAGATAAAAATATTAATTTTGAATTTTTTATCATTTATGGTAAATTTTTTTTATTGCAGGGCAAAATAGGAAGGCTGCCGTGAAGAGAGACTGACAGGTCATCATAACGAACATTTTAGCTTAACAATGATATATGTCTTAGCAAAGTAGAAATAAAATAATTTTGACTTTTAATAGCCAGTTTACTATTAAAGAGTTATAGTATTGGTAATGAATTGCATTTGTCAAAAGTAATAACTAAAATAAAGAAGTAATTGTGATTGACGAAAGATAAAAATATTCAAACGAGGCAATAACTCGAGGCAATAATTACGCTTTACAGAATTCAAGTATTTAATCATAAGAACCTATACAACCATATTTATCCAAACAATGGTGTAAACGTAAAAAAATTAATTGACTTAAACATTGTTCGTTAAGTTTCAAGGATTCTCCCATACAGCATAAAACATTGTACGTTAAGTTTCAAGGATTCTCCCATACAGCATAAAACATTGTTCGTTAAGTTTCAAGGATTCTCCAATACAGCATAAAACATTGTTCGTTAAATTTCAAGAAGGATTCTCCCCATACAGCATAAAATAAAAATAACAGATTGTTAAGTTTCAAGAATTATTTCTCACCTGTCCTGTATTGACAATGGTTGGTGTCCATCAGACAGCAGTCTTTTCCTTTCTGGCGCAGGACTCTGCATGAGATAGGTGAAGGGCGACGTGGACTTCCTGGCGTGGTATGGCATGTCCTCCTCATCATCGATGAAGACATCTCTCCTCGTGGTGGTTGTGTAGCTGACGGTCTCTGATTTGTATGGACTTTCAGTTAGAACTTGCTTATTACCATTTACACTTATGATACTCGTTGGATTATTATGCGGCATTGAATAGTCATTAGGTGCGTTAGTGGTAGTTATGCTGGAAAAGTTTCTATTTTTAGATGGCTGCTGCGTGGTTAATGATGCTGTGAAGGGCCTTAAGGTACTGTACACTGGTGCGTCGGGTATTGACTGGATTTCTTTTAACATACCGTTAACTAGTTCGTCCAACTCCGACTGATCATCTTTATAATTCGAATAAGGAGTCGTTCTTGATGTGGAACGTTCTGAGGGATTATGGCTCTCGGCATCTGGTGGTTCAGCATATATAAAGTTGATTTCAGTATAAAATAGTAATGCATTCTTATGTTGAATCAACTGAGTGTCCCAAAAGCATCTGAAGATTTGAAAACTATTAAAGAAAATCGGAAGGCGATAGAAATTTACAGCCTGCTGCGATATGCCCAGGTAACGAGATCTATTCTCAAAAATTTTCTAAACTAGCTACAAAGCTGGTCAATAGATAGAGCTGCTAGTCTTTAAGATGTATAAAGCTGTGTTTTCAAAATAACATCATTTGCAAAAATAATGCGGTGAAGTCTCTTAACAAAATGATTAGATGCGTGTGCAATCATTTCAATTCGAATAGTCTGACGGACAGTTATTTTTATTATAGTTTTTACATTCAGTAGAGCAATCTGTTGACAAACGTCGCAGTCGTAGTTTATTTACGTCGCACTAGAGCTGCATAATGGGCTATTGGCGACGGTCTGGGAAATATCCCTGAGGATGATCCGAAGACATCCCATCACAAGCTTGATCCTCTGCAGAGGGGATGGCACCCCCGCTTCGGTAGTCCGACGACCTGCGCGCAAAGTCGAGCACTTTACGATAGAACAGTTTAAAGAGGATCAACACCGCACACTCTCGGTCCATTCTTAGACTGATCCAAGTGGTCACCCACCCGCACACTAACCGCAGCCAGTGGTGCTCGATCTCAGTATTCTACTGGAGACCGTGTCTTAACGGTTAGTCCACTGCGGGTCTGTTGGCAAACGTAATAACTAGAATAAATTATCTAGTTCCCTAAGAAGAGAGCAGAACTCTGTATATTTCTATTACCTTCCGATTTTCCGAGTGATATTTCAAATCGCAGGACATTTTTGGGATACGCAGTATGTATTATTCTTAAAACTCGGATGTTGACAATTCAATAGTGATGCTCTTAATCGTGAAAAATAAATAAATAATAAATAAACAGGTAAGGAAAAATATAGGCAAATTCTAAAATTGCAAATTGTGCTGCCAAAAATATAATAGATTAGGCCACAAGAATTTTTTTATCAATATTTGTTTTTTTTAAATATTTTTAATATTTTAAAGTTCAAAACATTGTTTTCTAAAGGCCCAACACAAAAAGTTTTATATAAACCTAAGTTATAGAATTAGAAAATAAGTTCAATATTTCACTAGGATTATTTAAGCGGGTCCAAAAAAATGCAAAATTCCGCATTTTTGAAAGCTACTAATGTTGAGTGTTACTTTGTTCGATTTCAGAAACAAAATTCGAAAAAAAAAATTTTTTTTTTTTTTAATAATAAAGGCAAATATTTGGAGTCTTAAGGGACTTCTTAATCTTGTGGCATCTTAGAAGGTAAATATTTAGAAGGAACAAAGCTCTGTTAGTCTAGTTATAGTTCCGCGTTTTCCTCACCTTTTTAAGTAGAAATTAGGTAATAATTCAACTTAATTACCTGGTGCGTACTTTTAAAATGCTGGCAAAAACTTTTGGCTCAAGAAAACATCTTAAAAGCTATATTTTCTAGACAGAGGTAGGATAAACTACAGATTTTTTTGTAGTTAGCCTAAGCTACTTAATTACAAATGTAGTTAACTACAAATTACTTTCGAAACGCAGTCACTTCTTCACTATTTTAGTATATTATATTTTAGTAGAACTTATATACGCATGTTAAAAAAGGTTTTGAATATAAGGCCTCTAAGAAATATATATATATTTCCCCTAAGACCAGTGCGCCAAAAGAAAAAAAAACGGACCGTCTTGAATAATTTTGGATCTAATGATCGGATCTTCAAGTTCTAGGACTCAATTTGAATGGTTAAAGGGAGTGACCTCAAATATGCTAATTAATTAGTGTTAACGATATTTTAAGTTACGAAATCAGGCACAAAAATCTGCTTTCTCTGAATAAACATACCATTTTCTTCCGCCGGATTCGGATTTCTGATCTCCAAAATTTAGGGGATAGCCGCAATCTAGAAAATATGGCCGCTCGGTCAGGCATGAATTGTTCGGTCAGGAGAGCGATCCAAAATTTGGACCCCTTAATGTTAATTTTACTTTTTGCGCATTTCGCTATATCTCGAGAACTTTTGAAGCGAATTAAAACTTTTTGGATACAATTATCAAATTCGTTTATCCAAAGATAATTCCATGTAAAAAATTATTTTTAGTAAATATTTAAATATTAGCAGCACGTTATTCGAAACGTGTAATACGGAGGCAATTTCATTGCCTTCATTGACAGACCCGAGAAGATATGTACCAATCGGAATTGAAAAATTGATTGCGTTTGAATTTAGTTTCGTTATTAAATTAAAGCTAAAAGTAAAAGCCTGGAATCGCTACAAACTAGAGTTGTTTCGTACCGCATTACACACTACACTATTTTTTAAAACAGTAGCATACTGCACTACAAACTACGAAAAAAAGAAACTACTACAGTAGTTTCGCTATTTGTAGCGTGCTTCTAGTTCAAGAGAGAAACTTCAATAACACTCAATAAAAGGCATAACAACTGTTTCATAAATTCAGTGTCTCCAAAATCATTGCATGTTATTTATATATATATAAAAAATAATAAAGAAAGAAATAACGTTACGCATTAAAAAAACAAAAAAATCTCCTTAGCATCTAAAAAAAAGCATTGACCATTCAACATCCGAGCTTAAGTGTTGCATATAAGTAAATTGTTACAAGAATTGAAGTTGGTAACTACGAAACATTAATCATAAAATCTAAAATATTTAAATAACTTTAATATTCAGCAATTTGTTTAATATATATATACATATATACACTGACGGGGAAAAAGTCCCAACACCAATGAAGATTTGTGTTAGATAAACTAAATTAGGTGGGCTTGTTTATACAACTTAAAGATGATGTAATTTAGCGTTGGGCGCATAAGTGTGGCTCCAGTAGCGCCACTGTGAACATAGAATTCAGGGTTGCTTTAAATACGCGTTCTACAGGTCGTGAGCATTATTTTTCGTTAAATTTTGAAATAGTTAGTAGCTGTTAGTCAAGAATGCCTTTACGAAGACGAAGAAGCCATTATCAACAGCTGACAGACTTAGAACGTAGATCATGTCTAATAGGGCAGCGAGAAGGTGGATTTTCTTTCCGCGGTATTCCAGTAAGACTGAGTCGTAATGTGTGCATGATTTTATATTATAACCGTGGTTGAGAGAGAAAGAGAGAAAATTTACGTTATAGGAATCTAAGAGATTTAAAACTTACTTCATCGTTTCGATTTCTAAATACAAAGACAACGGTTGAAAAGTTGCAGCTGAAATGTACCCAGACATTCCAGTCATGAAGTCCCCCGTATTGATTTTATAAACGTTGTTGAACAGTCGTGACACAACGAGCAGAACTGGCACTGCAGTGACACAACGAACAGTTACAAATCGGCTACTTCAAGTACAGCTCCGAGCGAAACGTTCTGTAACTTCCATTTCACTCACTCCAAACCACTGCCGTTTACGACGTGATTAGTGTCGAGTGAGAGCTCACTGGAGGACACGTGAGCACCTGCTACCGACCTGTGTCTGGTCAAGACACACTGGACCTACACCTGGTCAGGGAAGCAATTTCCTATGACAACAGGAACACTGGCATGGTTATTTCATGCACCTTGACAGCAAATTTGTACGTCAACCTGGTGATTCAACCTGTTTTGTTGTCATTCATAAGCAGCATTCAAGGAAGTATTTTCCAACAGGATAACGCCTGCCCTCCTACTGCTGCTGCAACCCAACATGCTCCACAGAATGTCGACATGTTGCCTTGGCCTGCTAGATCACCTGATCTTTCACCCATCGAGTACGTATGGGACATGATAGGACGACGACTTCAGCGTCATCCACAACCTGCATTAACTATCCCGGTATTGATTGACCTAGTGCAACAGGCATGGAACTCCATCCCACAAAGTGACATACGGCATCTGTATGACACAATCCATGCCCGTTTGCATGCTTGCATTCAAAATTAGGGTGGTGACACCAGTTATCGATGTACTAGTATTTTAAAATTGAAATGATTTTTCACTTAATTGTACAAACCTGTGATTTTGAAATTTTAACTAATTAAAAAATATATTACTCAGTCAAACGCATTTTTGAAATTTCATTACTCTACAAGATTTTTTTTCCGTGGTGTTAGGATTTTTTTCCCACCAGTATATCTATATATATGCTTAACTATTTAAAAACATAACTCTTACGTAAAAGTTAGTTTTAATCTAAAAATTACAAAATAACTTCAATATTCAGTCCTATGTTTAAAAAGTATACAAATTTTTTTTATTACATGCTTGATTAACTAAGTAAAATTTAACTTTCTGAATGAAACATACATTTAGATATTGATAAATATTTAAATAATTACGAAATATAATTTCATTTATGAATGAAATAAGTTTATTTACTACGTTTGATAACTATGCAAAACTTTATTTTCAATATAATTTCATTTCAAAAATGAAAAATTCTTGTAAAATAAGAAGCGAAATGAAATATTTCTTTGAAACGTTAGTCTGTTATAGAGCAAATATTAAACAGGCATGAATATATATCAGTTGCCATGCACAAGAGCAAAATAGTTAATGAAAGCAGATTAATTAACCACATAAACTCACCAACATTACGAATGCCAGAACTTGAGGAAATGCCAGAGTCAATGCTGTGGGGACCTTCAACGTCTGCGAAAGGGTCATGGGTCATTTGTGGATGAATAAGTACGTCTGCGTATTTCTTCTTAGAGACAGTAGCGTACAAACTACCATCTAAAGGACCTTCTGTATAAAGAACTACTGTAAATAAGTTTTGGTTGTCCAAAAATAACGTCAAAATATCAAAATTCGCCTATTCTATGGCGGGAAATAATATTTTAAAAATTAAAGAGAAATTGCTAATTTGCCCATCCACTGATTTTGCTATTCAATAATACGCAGATTTATCGATGCGTTCTTTTACTACGCTGAATTCTCCGCTCACTGATTCGTTAATTTGAATGATGGTTGCCTACGTAAAATTTTTTAAAAAAGTAGGTTTTCAATATCTAACTTTAACTCAACAAAAGCATAAATACACCTATAATAATAAGGAAGCTATGAAAGAGAAAATATCTTTATTAAATTCAAGTTACACTTAAACTATTCGCGCATTTACTGATTCACTCCATTGCAATTAGCTGATTTGCCCATTCACTGCTTATTTTGCTATTCTCTGATACGCAGATTTATCGATGCGTTCACTCATTCGTCAATGTACTACTTTTTTGCCGATTTTTCCGTTCATTGATTGGTTAAATTATTGAACCACTAATACATAGATTCGCTTTCTGTGATTTCACTTTCTTTCTTCTTTTTTTATTCACTTGTTATACTAATAATCAAATTGTAATAACATTCTTTAAAAAGTATAAGAACAAAAAAACGAATCGGTTAATTTCCTAACAAAAATAAAATCATCTGCGTGAATGAACGGCGGAACAGTTTACTTAATGGAAACACGTTTGTTATTTTTCAATTATTCCCACTAGACTTAATAGTTAGAATGAAGTACTAATTGAATAAGATATTTTTTCTGCCAATATTCCTGAAACGGGATGCCCGTTTCCTGAAACGGGTCATTTCCTATCATTAAATAAATTATGTTTTTTTGTTTCCGCAAGCAGGTAAAAGTTGTAGTATGTTAATTTTTTTTCACAATGCAAGTTTTACAAACAACAACAATATAATGAAAGTGTTAGAAAAATCACCCATACACAAAAATAATCCTTATAATATTAAACAGATAAAATCGAGATTTCATTTTTTTTAAAAGTATTTCGGTGATTATAAAGAAACGGCATATGTTTAGCTCAAATTTTAAAACCTCCTTGAACGTTTATTCGGTTTCCCGAACTCTTAAAATGTGAAATCAGTTATTTTTTTCAGATATACAAAAATGCTTTTATTTCTCATAATATTAACAATATTTTAAAAGTTGAACATTTGTCTATTTTTCTTTAAAAATCGCCACTCCAGTCGATGTATTTTTGCGAACACTGCGACAGATATTGCCTGGTCACGTCATAACAGTTGAAATTATCTGTGAATAAATTGAGCCCTAACTTTTATATCGTCTTTCCACTCAGATGTTCTTTTAACATATTTAATGACTGATAGTCTCTCAGTTGCAAGTCTAGACTTTAGGGTGAGTGTGGAATGAAATTGCAAAACTGTTGCAATAGAGCGACTGTTCAATTGAAGGCAATTCAACTGCAACTACGAGGTTGAAGGTGAAGTTGAGCGCTTTCTCAAGAATATGGTGGGGAGGTGGTATGACGTGGATATACAAAAACTGTCACAGCATTTTTTAATATGCATTGACAGAAGTGGAGATCATGTATAAAAATATAGACAGATGTTCGAACTTTAAAATTATGAAAATAATATTTATTAGGCAACAGAAAAAAAGATGACTAAAATAATCTAAACTAAAGAAATTAGGAAAAGTTGAAGTTTAAATATTATGATGATAGAAGTTAATCAGTAACAAATAAAAACCAAATCTAAAAGAAAATAATATTAAAGTAACACAATGGTTTTAAGAGAGGCCATTGGTCACATACGCGCACGCAATATATATGATTTCTACATCAAGAATATATTCCTTGCTGACTTTAAATAAATATAAATAAATAAATTTATTAATTCCTTTTTATATCTATAAAATCAGTTTTAAAAATCTTTTCACATTTGAAAAATTATTTATGCAAACTTCAGTTTGCACATTTTCTTAAAATTTACTTAAATTATTCAATATTTAAGTTGTTTAACATTTGAAACACAATTATATATACAAATCATCTAAATTCTACAAAATTAAAAAAAATTGCAAGAAATAGAGGGAAAAAAGGTAAAATTGCAAGCAATTTAACAAAGCAACGCCATCTTAAAATGAAGAAAAATTGTCATCGTTGAGTTTTAAATTCGGCCACAGCTCGAAATACGTGTTTTCATTTAATTCGTTTTTCAAAAGAATAAATTTCTTGTTGTCGAAGGCCATTAAGAAAAAGGGTACTATTCCTCTTGTTTTCCAGTGGCGCCATCTATGGCTAAGCATTCGACATCTGCCACACCCATATGTCCCACTCGTTTATATAGGGCCATTCATCCACAAATCATAATTTCGACCTGAACCAGAGAACGATCAATCTCCAATTTATTACCCTCAGAGGTATAATTTGCTTTGCGAACAGGGAGGACGTTGAGACCCGACAGATTAACGTGCACCAGTCACCATTTAATACAGGGGGAGACTTCGACCGGCTGGATTCGAACCCCCGTTCTCACGAACGTAAGTCCAGTGCTCTGCCAATCAGGCTATCCAGGATAAAAAGAATAAACTAATGAATCCAAATAAATTCCTAACGTGAAATCGTTCATTTACATAAATCAATTGGTACATTTTATTAAATTAGTCTTTTCCTTAAAAAAGGCTTTAAAAGTCAACAATTGTTGTTACTATGTTGCCACGAATGTTATAAACTTATAATTGCGAATAGGTTGAAAAATTAGCGTTTTAGGAATTTAGAGTTTTAAAACCTACTTTATTGTTTCGCAATATGAATACAAAGACAACGGCTGAAAAGTTGCAACTGTAATATACCCCGCCATTCGGCCTTGAAGTCCCCCGTAGCTTAGCGATTAAGAAAGTTGGCATACAATTTCCAGTTTAGTTGTTAAATTTAGGTTGAAAACAGAAAAGGAGCATTTTTTGTGTGTGTGTCCATTTTCATAGACACGCATTTTGAGCTGCGTCCATTATCAGAAGCGCGCATTTCGAGCTGTGTCCATTTTCATTAACACACATTTCGAGCTGCGTCCATTATCACAAGTACACATTTTGAGCTGTGTCCATTTTCGTAAACACGCATTTTGAGCTTTATACAACAATTAAAAAACTCACCGACGACGTGTATCGCGTGAAGTTTTTATAACTTTTAAATTGATCACAATTAATGACGACAAGAAATATATTTTAATATTGACTTGGAAAAGTTTTACTGGGTATGAATTGATATAACATTTATTTCTAACAAAAGTACTTTTTGCTTTTGTCTATATATCATTCTAACCTTCCAAATGTAATACTTTTTGAATATTGATACCTTTTACCATTATTATAATTATTTTAAAAAGATATTTTTTAAAGAAAATTTAATTTCAAGGAATATGTTTAAAATAGAATTTATAAATCATGCATTTAATTCCAAACATGCATTAGTTTTAATTAAATTTAAAAACTTTTTTTTTTTCATTTATTGGCATGCATTTGGCGCGTGCAAGCATTCCATGCACCAAAGTGCCCATTGCCCAGATATCAAATCACTCACCGTGTAACATCCCTTCAAGTAAACCAACATCTAAGGGAAGTAATCAAATATTATCAATCATTTTGCGCCACTTAAAGAAATATACAGTAGCACTGCACTTAAAAATATACAGGGTGTTACGTAACGACCGCCCTTAACATACAATTTTTGATATCCTTATTAAAAAAAAGAATCCAAAAAGTACATAAATTAAGGGTAGCGAATAAATATTCAAATAAAAAAATAAAGCTTCACCAAAACAAGATGATTCCTTAAGGGGGGAGACGAGATTAAAAATATCAAAACTTGTTTGATTACCAAATGAAGAAAGTTAGAAGTAAAAAAAGATCATCAGATACAATTTCAAGTTTCATATGGCAATTAAACTTGCTTTGATATTTTTAATAATGACTTCCCCAATAAAGGTTCGTCAGATTTTGAAAGCTTTTTTCGTCACTTAAATAATAATTTTTGACCACTATTGTGATAATGATTTCATTTTACAAGAATTCTAAAAACAAATGAATTTGTTATATCCTGTATACTTAATAACTGCGATCAAGTTTTAAATGGGGATAGAACATAAATAATCACTAATCTTGAATTTTTTTATCATTGTGTTTTAAAATATTTTTACAATAACTAAGCGACGTGTTCTGTAAATGGCACGTAACTCAACTTTTTTCAATTATTGTACTGATTTCGAAATTATTTAGGACACATTTAGATTCATCAAATAAACTAGTTTGGTTAATATTAGCTCCACGTTTGTTTTATTTTTATTAATTATGGTAATGATTCTCTCTTCGCATTTTGATTAAAAAAATATTTCTTTAATATAACATTGAGATGTTTTTACTATGTAGGTCCTATCTAGTTTAATTTTGACTGATGTACAAAATATGCAAGGTGCGGCCATTTATTTAGAACTGATCAAAGAAACTCCTGAAAATATTATGCGAATTATAACCCCATTTATTGCGTTTCTAAGTAAACATGAACTACTGCAATGTGCAAAATGTCGTGCAATTGAAGAAAAAAAACAACGTACGCGACAAAAAATACGAAATTGAGATTTGTATAGATTTGACTTCATTATATAGTAAGCTACATACTGCAAAAGAAAAAAAAAATGCTTTATCAGTGTTTTAAAATTTTATTTTAGCGTTTATAGCATTATCAATAGAAGGAGATAAGTTGTCAAGTTACTTTTCTCGGAATCAATTCTGCAGCACTTACGTTGTTTTTTTCAATTGCACGGCAGCATATTTCTGTACTCATTTGTACAAAGAAAATTTCAGAAACAAGGTTTATAGTCCATTTTCGAAAGTTCTGAAATCCAGAAGTTGGAGTTTCCTTAATGACTTCGACGTCCTTAAATTTTGTTCCTTTAGCAATTGGTTTCTGATGTTTTGGAGAATGAACCATTCACCGTTCTTTTCGGACAAATCTCCCAATATTTGCAAAAAAATTTTTAAAAAAATGCTAAGAAAACAAAGTTTAAAAACGTCGAAGTTATTAAGAAAAACTTCAACGTCATTCCGAGGGGAGACGTGTTTCTGAAATTCATACATCAGAGTGCAAAAGTGCCTCTCACCTCACCTCAATTTCCAAACGTATTAAATGCGTATGCAATTCATTGCTTAACTTCAAGAGTTAATAAATCATTCCTCGAAATTAATGACCATACATTGTGCATTAAGATTAAAGAGCACATTTATCCTGCTACGTCTTAACATATCTTTAAGTTTGCTTATAGTATTTCAAACTTACTACATTTCAGCAATATTTTCGGTTTTTCTAATTGAAAACAGTACATTTATTGAATTTATATGATAAATTTTTAAGCATGATTTTGGCATTTTTGTTTCTTCTGCCGCGTGCTTTCTTTTTGTGCCATATAGTACCTAGTAGTGATATAGAGAGGAGCACTTACCATCCAAATTGTCCTCGGGTGCTAAATCGAAATTCTCGTAGGAATCCCATTTGACAAGAGGATCATTAGCACTCCAGACAGGAACTGTTGAATCTTGTACTGACCCATTACCTAGAAAAAAAAAGCACATTCAGAATCATATTCACCAATTTTTGAAAAACTTCGCCAAATCCAAATCTTAACAATTTTTTGGTGATAAATTTTTTCCCCATATTTTCCATAGAAGACTATTTTACGATTGTTTGTTTCAGGCTTATATTATTTGGATCCAATTCTAATGGGTTATACGGCGCATCTTCCGAAAATCACTGTAATCAAATAAAAAATACCGATTTGTGTAGAAAAATTCATTTTGAAGTAATTTAGAGGATCGAGTTTTTTCGTTCCTGTGGAAAAAATCACTCGCCAATACTTTTACCAAAACTCAATTTTATTCCCCAAATTTGCGATTTTATCGCATTTGGAAAGGTGGCGAATGCTTATGCGGACCCTGACAATTAAACTTACACATCTGCTATAAATACCAAGACTTACAATGAAATGAGTCATTGGAATAACTTTAATGACCTTTTTGAGTTGCACCTAAGAATACCAGAAGAATTTATGAAGACTTCTAACAAAATGTTTTTATTTAGATTCATAAATCTGGGTGCGTGTATCGTGAATCTTTTCATTTTATATTTTAAAACCGACCTTGAACAAACGACTCAATTCTGAGTTTACGACTATCAATGTATCCTTGTAATTTTGAACCCAATCCAGAAGACAAAGGAACTCCTGAATCAAATTAGCCTTCGTGGGGGATTTTTTGAAGGAACTAAACAGCATTTGCGTTATAGGGTGAGAGCATTTGCGAGACGCATCTGCCGATTCTAACCCATGATTCACCAATCACTGAGGAAATTTTACGTCAGGGCTGGGGCAGCACCCCTTAGAAGAGAGAAGGCCTTAGGACAAATCAATTTAGTAGTCCAAAGTAACGAACATAAACTGCGCAGAAGGGAAAAATTGAGAAAAATGTCGCTACGTTTACGTGTCGTTACTTCCGGGCTACTAAACTGCACAGTGAGGGATACGAAAGATGTCATTACGTTTGAACTACTAAAGGATCAAAGTTCGGGTTTATTGTAACCCGTGCTGAGGCCTTCTCTCTTCGAGGAGGTCGAGCAGAATTCGTATCAACCAGCCACCGGGGATTAATCTGCTCGCGCTAACTGTAATCGCCAACGCACCAAGTAAAACCACCCGGTTGTTGACCTTTCGAATTAGCCCATACTGCAGTTTTTTTTTCTTGCGCACCACTGCTCGGTTATTGCTATAACTTGGCGATTATTTTGATGCAGGTGCCGATATGGGAATCTTACCTGCGGAATCGTGATGTCTTAATTCTCAAATATGAGTACCAATTGTAAATCTTAATAGTAATACAGTGTTGAAAAGCAATCGTTCCATCACTTAATTCATATGGATGAACTTAGCGATATAGCGTTGGTAACGTAAAATTTTAATCATACATTTCACATAAATAAGTGTTGAAGTATAACACTGGAAAAGCAAGCGTTTTATTTTGTACAATTAAATTTACGTAGATTTGAAGCATAACGTTGGAAAAGAAAACGTTTCAAAGACTGTCCTGATCTGGACTTCAATTTATGAAATTTTATTTATAGGCCTCCTATTCCTGTACTAACTAAATATATTTAAACGCTATTGACAAGTAAGGTATAAGTGAACATACTATTTAAATTAAGGAAATGTATTTAAAAATAATTTTTTTTTTCAGAAAAAAAAAAGAAATTATAATAATTACCTCGAACGTCTTCACGATGATTCGATAACATCAGTTCAACTTTTCCTGAAGCAGAAAATCGAGAATCTATAAAAAAGAAAAATAATTAATCAAAGCAAAACTTGAATTATTGACAACCTAAAAAATAAAAACATTGAAGTATTGAAACCCTTACAAAATCAAAATGTCCGCGAATTTTACAGAAATAAATACATTTCAATACAAGTATCTGATCATTTCTTGTCATCTATAAGAACAAATTATGGTTGTTACTTATGATTCAATATCTAAAGCAAAAACGTTAACAATCTTCTATCACTGACGATAAGTGTTTTTCTTTGATAGCACAATTAATGCTTTTATTCTATTTCCAGCTGATTTCCTTGTGGTACAACGGTTCCCAGCAGATCACCGAAGTCAAGCAACATTGGCTGCGGTCAGTGTGCAGGTGGGTGACCACTTGGATCAGTCTGCATAGGGACCGAGGGTGTGCGGTATGGGTCCTCGTTAAACTGTTCTACCGTAAAGTGCTCGACTTCGCGTGCAGGTCGTTGGGTCGTTGGACAGGTCCAATCACTACACCTTGTTAACGACATTAATTCCTCACCACTCTCCATAGTGCCTGGAAATGCATTTTAACCTGATTTAGCAATCTTGGCCTCTTTGGTATAAATTTTTGTTCTGTTTTTCATCTTTTTTTTTCTCTCTTAGCTACTCTGGTTCTTCCAGTTTTCTCATTTTTTGTTGACAACTTATACGTTTTATATTTCAAAACACTTTAGTTTCCTCTCATTCACGTCTGGTAAGTCTTGATAATGGGCGCCTGTTTTTGAGCGTTTGAAACATGTTGATTGTTACTTCCCATTTGTATATTTTTGAACAAATAAAGCTTTTAATCAAGTAATATGCTGCCGCTTCAGCTACTTGGAATAATTTATTTAATATTATTTAATAGAAAAACTGTTATGAGACAACAGATAACTCCCATAGGACAATAGAGGATTCATATTGGACAACATTAATCTTAAGAAAAAAAAAGACTATGACAGTAAAAATAATTTAAAAAAAAAAGAATTCTACCTGTGCAGGCGCTGTCTAATTCGCTTTTCTCAAATATGACATGATCTGAGTTAATTGTACAAGTATGAAACTGAAGCTGGAATACTGTGTATCTGGCAAGGGGTCGATGGCTCATATGATAGCATTTAATGAAGACGTCTCCTCGGACCTGCAACCCACTTTCCAAGGGGATGATGATCTTTTTAGTTTTTTCAGTCGCTGAGCTGCAAAAATAAAGAAACTAATGTTACTGAATTTATTATTAACCATTTAAAAACCAAAAAGTGATCAATCGTTTATTTAGTTGTTTCGTATTCAAAATATCATTTTCACTTGCATTACAAAATCCAAGCTTCATTAATTACGGGAAAAAAAATAGAAAAATTCAAAGCAGTATGAATGATATTTCTTTTCATTTGAATGATATTTCCTTTCATTTATGTTTAGACTTTCTTTTTCAAATTTATATTCCTTTAACTAAGAATGTTTTTAAATAGGTTAAAATTATTTACACACTTACTAAACGCCAGATGTGTAAATCAACTGCATTCCTTGATATATTTTGATGAAAGGCTTACAACCTGAAATGAATAAAATATATTTTAAAAATTAAAAACTGAATTCTCATAATTCAGTGCATTAAAATTTCAATTCTTTAAATATTTAACATTTGTCACACTAAAAATGACACTTATAATCCTAATTTTCAATTTCAAAATTGGAGTTAACTTAAGATGTTTTTTTGCCAGATAACCGAAGTGCATGCGGTAGGTCAGATTTAGTTTCAAATAAAATTTTTATCCAGAGCAATTTCAGGATGGACAGAAAAAAGTTTTGATGCAAAGCCATTAACTGCATAATAGTATAAAAGTCTCAAAAAAAGTTTGTTAATTTATTTATTTTCGTATTTTTTATTTGCACACTGAGGAGAAGTGTATGGTCAAAATTATTAGATTATGGTAAAATTTAGAGTTTCTGGCTTAAGGGAAACACCAAAAATCCTGGTAAGCCCGAAGTAATGATTTTGGCGAAATTAACAATAAAATATGGTTTTTCAATGTGATAAAATAAAGCTAATCTGATAAAAATTTAGTAATTTTACCATGATATATCAGAAAAGGGCATTAATTTTATTTATTCTGTTAAATTTAATTTCCAGTTGAGTTTTTTTTACCAAATGTGTAGTAATAAAAACCATGATTTTGGAAACAGGAATTCCCGGTACCATTACCAAATGAATGGTTTAAATACCGTATATTTAGGTTTTATTAACTAGAATTATTATTTTTTTATAGGAAATGTTATTAGTTATTACCATATAATACGGTAATTTTACCAGAATTTTTTTCTCCGCGGCGGTTTTCCTTCGATTTATATTCTTATAAAGTTTGTGAAAAAAAATATACACATTGTTTTACTTTTAATAGAATTTCACTTAAGATTCGGGTGATAAATTTACATTTTCAGAGAAAAAAATTTAACACTTCAAAAGGTGTATTGTAAAGTAAAATGTTTACCTCCTCTGGATTCAAAATTTGGCACTCCGTGTATGATGACACGATGAAGGTAAATGGAGTTGTTATTCATTCTTATTGCACCAGACAAAAGACCAGCAAAATAATGCACATACCTGCAAAGAATATCATCAAAGATATTAAATTCAAGATTGAACCACGATACCGATACCTTAATATATCTAATCATGTTTCGGTGTTAGTACTCTATCAGTATCTTGGAGTCAATAAGCAAAATTGGCTTCAACCTTACTAAGGTGAGCACCTACAGCATGTTTCTGGTTAATTTGAACCGTAGTAAAGAGTAATAAAGGATATATAGTAATCATTTGCTTGGTTTCAAGATTTACCAGAAAGTGTAATGTTGATCAGCGGTTACGATTTTTTTTCTAGCAACGCAACCCTAAATGATACTACTTTTTCTGGCACAACACCACGAAGCTCATTAGGGAAGATGAAAATATTACACAAAGAAAGACAAATGATTATTTTGTAAATAAAATTTCTTATCTTTTTATCAATAATAGTCTTAAAAACTAGCTTTTATGCCAGACGGTTGAATTCCCAGATCTGGAACGGCATCACTCCTAGTTCTTAATTACCTTTTCCAGCATGCGTAAGTTCAAAATAAGTAAAGTAAGCTGAATTAAAGATTTTGTTATCAAAGAAGAATAAGATTTTTCCGTTGAATTCAACTACTTCATTTTAAATTGAAAAGTTCAATTAGAAATACTAATGCAATTTTTTATTAATGCATGTTCTTTTCTATAGCTTATTTAAATATATCTGTTTTTTTTCTTCAAATTTTGTTATTGGCTACAGAGTTTTGAAAAAGTGATTAATTACCTCTTTTGAGAAGGCTGCATTGAACCCGATAGACGATCTTCAAAAAACTTTTTCATCGTCAACCTGTCCAAAGCCTGATCAGCACTGAAATAATAATAATAATATTACACACACGCAAATATATATATATATATATATATATGTTCAAAATGAAGAATAAAACAAAGAAAAATAATACACAAATGAAAAAAAAAGGGGGGGGGAAATAATAAGTAAAAAAATAACAAACAACAGTTNTATATATATATAGCTTTTATGAATCACATATATATACATTTATCAATCATCTAATAATAAAATTAATGTAACATTAAAGTCAAGAAGAAGAAAAATGCTGTTGAAATATAACAAATCACTACAGAGGAAAGCTGGACTAGAACCATCAGAACCTGCTCAATTGCATCAGAAAACAGACTAGTTAAAAGGCGATTATAAGAAACACCTTCAACTATCATCAGTCAATAAAACTGATTTTGATGCCTTTTCATTTGCCTTCCACATTATTGATTCAACAGACTTTTCTACTTTCCCTGCTTAATTTACTTCTCATTCTTCGACCCGTATTCGACACAAATTCTTAAATTAAATATTTAGGGTGGTCTGCACGGGACACCCTTATATATTAATTTACTAACCTCGCACATATGTTGCTGTAGTGCATGTAGGCTGCTATCACAATGCCGGCTCTTCCGATATCACCCTGCAAATATAAAACATTTACGAAATTAGGACACTAATCTACAAATTCTTAAGTAATTAAAATGTAAAAGAGTTTAGAAAAAATAAAGCACGGAAACTTTTTTTTCCGCATCATGAACAAATTTTCCCTTTTTTATTTTTAATTCTTGCTACCTGATAATTTTAATATTTAATGACCGGTTCATCTTTTTTTAAAATTAGCAGAGATTATAGAATATTTCACTAGATTATAGAATATTATAAAAATTATAAATAGAATATAAGTATAGAATATAGAATTATAAAAATATTATAAATAGAATATTTCAGAGATTATAGAATATTATAAAAATTAACAGAGTCATAAAATATTTACTTACATTTTAATGTTTTTCGTAACTCCTAAAATACTTTTTGTTGTAGATACTTTTCGAATATTATTAGATTAATAAAATTAAAAAAAGTATTTCGAAGAATTTTTAAAAAAAAAGTTAAATTCAAATTTTTTTGAAAATATAATAACATGAAAATAATTTAGAACTACGTTTTAAATAGATTAAAAAGAATAATAAAGTTTGTTTTTGACAAATCTAAAATGTAAAAAGCAGGGCACATATTTTGAATTTTATGTGGAAGTTTATTACGAAAGTAAAGCATCCTTGGTTTTTCATTTCAATTGTAATAGTGAAAAAAAGGATAATTATTTCGTAATTTTTGTAGTCTCTAATAAAAATATAATTTAAAAATTTTTGTTTAATTATTTTCCTTTCGAACTTGTGTCTCAAGCTTTTAAAGCCAGAAAGTAGTCAAAATTTATATTTGACACAAATTCATCCTCACGATAATATGGCATTCACAAACTTTGCAATTTGAAATTCTATCATCAGAAAGTGGTCAAAATATAAATCGATAAATTACTTTTGACGGTTTTACGGCGATAAATTCTGCCTACAGCTTTTAGAAAACAAACTTGCATCGCCATCAGGCACTGAGTCCCAGTAGATATTTAAAGACTCTAGCTAATAAGAAGAAGTTTAAACTTGAAATACTAGAATCTCGATGTTTAATAAAAATTACCAATAGTTTAAAGTTTTATCGAAGTTTCATAAATTACGAATGATGTTAATTAAAACTAGTTTGTATTTTTAAATTTATATTTCAATTATGAAACAAAATAATATTTTTGATTTTCAACAGGGTTTCGACTTAATTTCAAAAAAAATAAAAAAAATAATTCCCTGAGTTTTCCATATATATGAGGTAAATTTCAACGGAAATCCAAATCATACTTAATCTATACCATGCAATTTTTCATAAGAAAACTTTGATTTTTTTAAATTTGTAAGAATGAGAAGGGAAACGAGGAAAAATTTCACTAAAAAGTAATAGTTTATAAAATAGTAATAGATGATAGAATTATTCAACTCGAATCTCAATAACTGATTACTGTTACTGACAATTCTAAGACTGGTTATTTTCCAGGTATAATATAGGAATTTTCCAGGTATTCTGTAAAAAATTGCAATTTTCCCTGACTATTTCCTGCGTTTTTTAGAGTTAAAATAAAATTTCCTGATAATTCCTTGACCCGTAAGAGCCTTGTTTCAAGTAAATTTTTCGAATTTTTGGTATTCTTTTGGAATAATTCCTTACATGAGTAAGTACCCTTAGTAATGATTCAAAGTTCTTCCAAAAGTTCTAAAGTTCTTTTAAATTCTATGCTTTATTTTCCCTTCTTTAATGAAGCGTTAAAAGCTTTATAATGACTTACTTTAGAATGTATAACTGCAATGTTTTGTGGATCACTATAAATCCATGAATCAATTGATTTACAAATGCTGCACAGCCTTTCCAGAGGAGGAGCGAGGTTTTGCGGCCATCCGAAATCAAGAACCTAAATAAATAAATGATTAAATATTATTCCTAAAGTATTAAAAGAGAACAAATGCCATCAAATGATTATATTAATGAAAATATTTAATTACCCTTTGATTTAATTTGGCTAAGTCATAACGTTTTTCAGAAAGATTGAAAACCTAAACACAAAGAATAAAAATATATAAAAATAATTAAGACAATGATAAATTTTAAATAATACATACAGAGGAAATTTAGAAATATTTTTGTCGAATTGTATAGAAACAAGATTCTAATAAAAAGAAATAACACTGAAACAAAAATTGATCTTTACAGAAATCATAAAATAGGGAAAGATTGAAGGCATTGGGACTAGGAAACGTAGCAGAAATCATAAAAGAGTCAAGAATTGAAGGCATTAGGATTAGGAAACGTAACAGAAATCATAAAAGATTGAAGGATTAAAGGCATTGGGATTAGGAAACGTAACAGAAATCATAAAAGAGTGAACGTCTGAATGCACTGTGATATGAAAACGTATCATAAATCATAAAAGAGTGAAGGATTAAAGGCACTGTGACAAGGAAACGTAACAGAAATCGTGCAAAAGAGTGAACGGCGGCACTTTTCTTACATAAAAGCTTATTTTTTATTCGCTATCCTTTTATAAGCGAATGCTACATCTTCCTGAAAGACGATTGAAAAATCATGATGATAATATATATTTTTTTACAGTTCACAGGAAGAAATTGTTTTTAAAAAATAAAGGGGTAAAAAACATGCATCTAAAGCTATTACATGATCAAAATATCATTCCAAAAAAAAGTATAAGATTTTGAGCATAGAGAGAATTTACAGTTATTTACAGTATTTTTGGAAACACGTGGATGTTTTTTATTTATTTATTTTTCTTTTTTTACTGACAAAACTTGAATTTCAAACAGCGACCTTTTTTAAGATGAAGTGATCGTATATTATCATCGATGCATGTTTTGAATATAATTTTAGAATATGAACTTTAACAGGAGTTAAAATGATTATTTTTAATTGACAGTAACAAGTGTTCAGAAATTCTGCAAGGATAATGAAAAAAAAAAAAAAAACATTTGTTTATTTCTTTTGAAATTATTTCTAAATATTTTTAGGAAACAATTATTGAGATATGGATCAATTTTAAACACAATTATATATCTTTATTTTTTTAAATTTATAATTTAGTATTTAAATAGTAAATTGCAAGACTATTAATGAAGGTAATTTTGTATTAGAGTTCTGACGTTCAAATTTGCTTAATTTATATCAATAATACTTATATTAAAAAGAAAAATAAATTATTTGCAACGTCAAGTTTTTTTCCAAAGAGTTCTCAAAGAGTCCCACGTGCCTTTCTTTTTAAACACAAATTGCATATCTCAATAAATATTCAAAAAAATTTTTTTTTTCTTTTCTTAGCTGTAAAAAGATATACATTGCAAAAAGAAAGATGACATTTTTGCGAAAGTTTCCGTTATAAACTTCTAGAAAAATAAGCTTTATCCATGATAATGTAAAAACTTCATTAGATTCAAAAATTATTACGATGAAAAAAGACCGCATGTTTTAAGTGCTCGAAAATAGGTGCCCATTCTCAAGATTCACCTGACGTAAATGAGAAAAACAAAACGATTTTTAAAAAAATCAATAAAAATAAAATATATAAAAGTAAAATTGACAACGAAAAAAATTTAAAATAAAATAAAGGTGAAAAACAAAACTAGAAAAACACAGTAGCCGAGAGAGGCAAATAAGGGCAGAATGCAAAATGGAGTCTTAAGAGCTATTGAGGGGGGGGGGNGGGGGGGGGGGGTCGACAAAGAAATATGACGTTAAATATTTAATATGCTCAATTAAAATGTACTTTATATGAATATACTATGCATTAAAATGAAGTTTATCTCTTTACCATACTTTGATATGCAATTCATTTCTTGACCGAGTATTAAAATGTAGTTTATATCCATAAAATGTATTAAAATGAAATTTAGTTTATTTCCATACCATATATCGACAAGTAGTTTGCAAATCAAAATTAAGTTTATCTTACCATATAATTTGTACCATGCTTCGTACGTAACATCCGGGTAACTTCTTTAAGGTTATTTTTGTATGTCGCCTCAGATTCTGTCCGAGGAAAGACAACAACTGTAAAAAAAAAAATTTATTTAAACTATAAATTATAAAATAAATTTAAGATATACTTTTTATAATTCGTGAAACCAAAAAAAAACATTGATGAAGAAACAGATCGTTTGAAATAAAATATAGTATATAAATAAAGTGCAGGTTAGTGTATAATATGTAATAACATTTAAATAAAGTGCAGGTTATTATAATCATTATTAGTAAGATTTAATTGCACTCACCTATTATACGTTCGGTAACGTACGTAATATCCATAGTGACCGCGGAATGCCTATCTAAACTTCTAGAAAACCAAAAAAAATTTTTTTAACAAACATAAGATTCATTCTAAGTAAATAACATTAGATCAAACAGACTTAAAGATTCACACATGAATATGAACACAATACTAAATTTAATGCTAAATTAATTTTATACTGAAAGAGTCTGAAAATAGTTTCCCATATGGTAAATGTGTAAAGATTTAACAACTTACCTGGATCTTTTTATTTTTTCAGGCGTTCTGACTAACCCTGGGCTTTTCTGTAAGAAAAGAAAAAGAAATAAAAATATTTTAAATACAATTCAAACATTTGTTTCCTTAAAGTACTTTTATAAAAAAATGTACTTTTTTATTTCAGTTAAGCTATTTCAAAATAACATAATTTATTTATAATCGTATTGCATTTGAACTCTTTCAATATTTTCTGTGTAACACAAAAAAGGTAAAATTAAAGAAATCCAGCAACAGTAGTTGGTAAGGTAAATTGTGGAAGTCAAGACTCCACAATTTCGAGACTAAAGGCCTGACGATGGTAGTGCTACTAGCACAGCCCACCCATCCTTTTATTTTTCAGACAGACTTGTCACACATCGATCTGAAATTAAACGGGCTTCGAGCCACCGCACAGTTAGAAATTTCTCGGGGAAAAAATGGTTAAATAACAATTTATTTAACTGTCATTTAACCATAGTCAAACAAAACAGTCAAATAACTATAAATAAGATGATATTTAAACTGTTAACTGTGAGAAAAACCATCTGTTAACGGATTTTACCAAATACGGTTAAACAACCAGAATTTTATTGCAGCGATTCGGCCCACCTTATGAACTTAGTTCCTTGCAGATGGGTACATATTATAGGCAAGAAGGCTAATATATCAATCTCATGAACGGGGGTTCGAATCCTAGCGTTAACAGGACAATATTTCCTCCATTCCCTACAATAAATGAAGAAAATGAAGAGTGTCTTGCACTCCACAATTTGTGACCCTGGACTACTAGAAAACGATACTCTAATTCACGAATGCATGACAGCACCATAAATCTCTAATGTCTAATTAAGTTTCTTTTTAACAGTTTTGAAACCATGCTAGTTGTAGGTGGTTAATAAACCGTATGGTTTTGTATTTATGGTTTTTTAACCATACTAGTTGTAAAAGGTTTCAAAATCGTAAAGGGAAAAAATGTTCTTTACCATAAGTGTTACGGTTAATTGGATGGACAGACTGATGTCGGTTTTCTTTTATCATGATTTGAGAATGAAAATTCTAACAGTGCACTAGCAAAAGTATATCTTTTTTTAAAATTAAATAAATTATTAAGCATTTACTAAGCTATTTAAATATGTATTACTGTCATTTAAAAATTGCTTTACAAAAAAAAGGAAAAATATGTCCTAAAAAGCTCGTTAAAAAGTTTTAATTTCAAGTTTGTTATGAAATAATTTTTAAACTATTATTGTAAACATTGTAAACGGTATGAAATGTTAGATTCTAAGTATATGAAAACATGAAAGCCTAGTGTTTATTACTGTTGATGCTATTAATAATTGCTTTCTTTATTTATGTTTGTCTCATAAAGAGATTTCTCAATAAATGGCACCATGATAACTATTTCCTTGAGCAAAGATTTTTATTTTGCATTTTTGAATGTTACTAAGAACCGGTTGATAATTAATTGTTAAAAAAAGAAAATTTTGTGGAATTAGTGTTTGCCTTAATGGTCTATGAACAAAACTACAACTGCTGAAGGATAAGAAAATTTTAGTACCGTGACATACCATCAAAAATATAGTTATTTCAAGATCTACCGCAATATGTGTATTATATAACCAATTTACACTAATCAATATATTTTTGAGTTAAATGAACTTAAGTAACATTCTCACTACAACATTTGATAATTATCATTATCGATAATAGTAGCGAGATTATCATGCTCGAAATTTTCGTAGTCAACAGCAATCACGATATTAACTACTTTTTAATTATTGCAAACGATTGTACTCACAACAATATGATATTCTGTATTAATCGATGTTGATATATAGTTACGATATTATATTTTTGTCGATAGTTATATTTTTTATATTTAGAAGAAGTATTCACAATATATCAAGCGAATAATTTTTAAAACATTCTTACAGAGTTGTTTGAAAAATATCGATATTTTATATCACCCAGCTCTACTATTCATCATCTATTAAAACTTCTACGGAACGCCATTTTTATTTATACTGAGAGGAAAAAAACGTGAACATTAAATGTTTTATAAACGGAATAAAATGCGGACCATTTGCAATCATACGTCATTGATATTTTCCAAATTTGTCTTCATTAACCGTTATTTAAAGGAAGAAAAATTTAAACGAGCGCAATTTCATGAAAAAAATATTCCATAACAATATCCGTTTTGGAAAGTCTTTATTATAAACGAGGTGGCCGTGACATGAGAAAATGAAGAAAGGGTTAATGCTCCTTTTTTTCATCTTTTTAAAAAGGTCACTCTTGTTGTAAAGTAAATGAATACATCAGAAAGAGAAAGGGGGTTTAAAAACGTACAATAGAATTATGAGTTTTACAGAGACAGGCTACGCGTGGTGTTCGAATCGCTGCTGCCAGAAAATAAATTCCTATCACGGCGAATTTCGCGTTTTTTTTCTTCTTTACTTGTTCGACGTGAGATCACTTTTTATTTCACGTGCCTCGACGAAAAAAACGTGATCGACGTGAGCTCCAACATCGTGATCTTGAAACACATTTTTGTTCTTTTTATTATTAGATAGTTCGGCTACTTATTATTTTCATCTTTCTTTCAGTGTATTCTCTCAAACAGAAGGAAGTTGCTAACGTACTCGCATAGAAAGAGAGATTTTTTGATAAATGAATTTTTTGTAGAAAATATCGATAAAATTTACGGTATTTGTTCAAGTATTTTTTTCCTTATCATTCAAGATGTTTGTAAAAAAAACCTACCGGGATATATTTTTTTAAATATTTATTTTTCAAAAAATACTGTTGACAGTAATAGCGGCTTGCAGTCGTCAACGGTTATTTATATACGATAAAAGCATGTGCTACATTTATCTGATCATTATCAGTTGACAGTTTTGAAGAAAAAAAAAAACATTATTGCAGACGATTTATCTTATAACAGAAAGAATTACGGAAATGACATTTTAAATTACAAAACTATCGTTTTCCAATCAAAAATTAAATGAATTCCCCTAAAAACTGAACTTAATAGCAAAATAATCAATATATAAATAATTTACTTCTAACAATACAATCATTTCTAATATTTCATTCGCTTATGTTTTGTTACATAATTAATTTTTCGGAACTACCGATAGTTGCAACTGATAATGAATAACCATAACATGGAAACAACAAAGAAATACGTAAAGAGTTTCCACTTTTAATGTTAGCGCATATAAAAATAAGTTTTTACTAATTTTTTTATTAATATCATTATTGCGCGGCAAAATGGGAACACTAACTAGCCCAAACAGTTTTAACGCCATCATGTAACGGTAAAAAGCTTAACTACCAGTTTAGTTTGATGAATTAATCGTTTTCTTTTAATATTTTTTATTGTATTTATGAAATTCTTAGTAATCGTTAGGTTTTTTGTTTTATTTTAGTTCTAAAAAATATTTAGAATTCAATTCTTTAAGAGTGTCATGTGTTAACGAAGACAAAAATACATTTCGTAAAATAAATTATGATTTATTTTAAGTTGTTTAATTTCTCACCATTTTTCTCATTCTCAAATTTATTTCAATATTGAATAAAATACATATACATATGGATGACATGCACCATTTCACCTTTAACATTAAGGAATAAATTCCTAAAAGCTGTATTAATATAGAATTTTTCATTTCTCTGTTTATTATATGTCAAAATTATTACCTATCTCCGAATTTATTATATGTCAGATAGAAAATAAAAATATGACAGAAACACTTTTTACGTATAATAAAACAAAAAGCTAAGATAAAAGATTTGAAATTGATTAGAAAATTTTGTTTCTACATAAATGCCCAATATGAAAAAATTTCGAAACACATTAATTCAGGCCGTCCTATTATAATTGGAATAAATTGAATGAAGTAAAAAAAATATGCATTTTATTGTTTATGCTATAAACATAATTGGGTATAATATAGCCTACGTCACAGGTTGTGTTGTTCCTACTAAATTTAACCCATGAACGGCATTTTCTGCGAGCCTAACTTCAAGCCACAAATAAACAAACGAAGTGTTCGATCGTTTAAATAGCTGCTCGCCAGATTTTATTGCATTANTAGCAATTTTCGGGGGTTGGCGAGCGTCAGCGAGCAGGGGGCGCAGCCCACTAGTATAAATTATTTACTTCTAACAATACATCATTTTTAATATTTCATTCGTTTATTTTTTGTTACTTCGTTTATTTTTCGGAACTACCGATAGTTGCAACTGCTAACTAGCCCAAACAGTTTTAACGCCATCATGTAACGGTAAAAAGGTTAACTACCAGTTTAGATTGATGAATTTATCGTTTTCTTTTAATATTTTTTATTGTATTTATGAAGTTCTTAGTAATCGTTAGGTTTTTCGTTTTATTTTAGTTCTAAAAAATGTTTAAAAGTTAATTCGTTAAGAATGCCATGTGTTAATGAAGACAAAATTACATTCTGTAAAATAAATTATAATTTATTTTAAGTTGTTTAATTTCTCTTTGAATAAAATACATATACATATGGATGACATGCATCATTTCACTTTTAACATTAAATAATAAATTCCTTAAAGTTGTATTAATATAGAATTTTTCATTTCTCTGTTTATTATATGTCAAAATTATTATATCTCTCCGAATTCATTACATGTCAGATAGAAAATAAAAATATGACAAAAACACTTTTTACGTATAATAGAACTAAAAGCTAAGATAAAAGATTTGAAATTGATTAGAAAATTTTGTTTCTACATAAATGCCCAATATGAAAAAATTTCGAAACACTAATATTTATTCACGCCGTCTTATTATAATTGGAATAAATTGAATGAAGTAAAAAAATACGCATTTTATTGTTTATGCTATAAACATAATCATTGTTCATGATATACTCGTACAAAAATCAACAAAAATATTATAGAGACACTAAATTGTAACCGTAGAGTGTTAATTTATTTAACTATACTGTATCAACTAATCGTTTTCTATAAGTATTGCTAGAGGGCGTTGGAACCTGTTGGACTACCGAGAAACTTC